GGACCGCGGCACAGCCACCTATACACCAACTAGAATCATCCATCGCCCTGGGTGTGGCAACAACAGGATCACCTGTCAGGATGCCGACGCCCTGGGGCTGTGTTAAGCCGTCATTTATTGCCGGGGTGGCGCCATTGACAGCAACGGCATTGCCGCCTGACTTTGTTAACTGGTGCAGACTCTTTGCTGCCTGTCGTGACAAAGACTTTATCAACTGTGATTCGTCGACATTATTGCTATCGTCGTCATCGAGAACGACGACAGAAGAGACATTGATCAAAATCGAGCTTTCACGAACCAATGTACTCGCCCGTCTGCGGATGGCAGTGACAATGTCCGAGGCTTCCTCTTTACCTGGGTGAAGATGTTCATTCCGCAGGTTGAGAGTCGCAGAGGCCTTGTATGTCTGGAAGGAGCCTAAGCAATCCTGGAAATTCCCGTAATACCGAGGCCCGAGGTTGTAGAAAACAGCTACCATGTCGTCGCTATAAGCCTCGTCGAAAAGCATTCCATTGGCAAGAGACCATCGGGAAGTGGACACGCCTTTTCCGAGACGCATTGCCAGGTCTTGAGGGGTGCCAAAGAATGCCTGCACGCGCGATGGCTTGCTTGAATGATGGCTTATAGGAACGGATGGGTATTCGATCTTCAGTTGTTCAACAAACTCGCCGTCTACGAAAAGAGATGCGCGAGAGGAAGACATTGGCTTCGGTCTCTTTTGAACAACACAAATATGGTACCAGCGATTTGGCTCAAATTTTGCCGACTTGAACCGAACACTGGGACGGGAACCTCGAATCGAAGTTTGAAGAATAAAGTTACGAGTACCCTTTTCGAGATAGGCAAGGATAAAACATGTTTGGCTTGCATCAAATGCTCCAAAGATAGTGGTATGCGTGTTGGGATCGAATTCGTCGAAACGGGCCCAGGCTGCAAGAGTGTAGCCGGAGGAATTGATTGGGGGGAATGGTCGACCGAGTGTTGCGAACTCGACTGAACAGTATCCATGGCGGGACATATCGAACTGTATTGACGGGGGCTCCTTGGAGGATTTGAGAGCAGACAATAGGACTTTTAGAACTTGCGGGTTTTGATGGGCTCCGCGGTATAAGGCGACAGCATCGTCCAAGCTACTCATGCCCTGGACGCTGAGAAATTGGGCAAGATCTTGGTAAATTTCTTTCTCCCTGTCTGATCGTCCGCCATCGAATAAGAGGGGTAGGATTGAGGTGAGCATATCAGTGGCATGCAAGGCTACGACGTTCCTCCGAGACTGCGAGGCCAATTGGCAGAGACAGGCAGGCAAGGCCAGGCGTAATATGTCATATCCAGATGAAAAAGAGGAGTGCATCAACCACACCCGAAGGAATGGGCCAAGTAGTTCTGGCACTTCCACCGTCTCGGCCGATCCAATGCAATGATCCACGGCAACCTGGACGTCTTTCGGAGACGGGGAGTCCTTATTTTGGGGAAACTTGGTGCTCAGTGTTACAAAAATACCGGACACTGTCTCCTGGCATAGAGCTGCGGCTAAAATGGCGCCGTAGAGATGCTGCGCATCGCCCTCAGTTTTGTCTATCTTCTTGACCAGCGCAGTCAGAATTCGTTCCAGTGCAGCAATACCTCCCCCTACTATCTTCCGAGCAAAATATCGCTTGTTGCCAAAATGGTCCTTGAGACCCTCTGCCAATACACCGAGGACGTCTTTGAAGATACCCAATAGGCCTTTTCGTTCCTCCTTGGTTTGGTGTACCGGATCGTATAGCTCGGCTACCTGGTCGGCCAGCGCCAGTAGCGTTTGAAAGCCCTGGAGATATCGGAATGCATCCTTGGCGGTGCGTGGACGTGCATCATCTATGAAGGTGTGGCGCAGGCGGAGAAGAGATTCGGTCGTCGACAGGGCCTGTGGCAGAGTGATCGCGGTGCCTGCACCGACGCTCTTAAGCTGGTCAATAGTTGGAGCTAGCTCTTCGGCCAATCGTTCAGTCGATCCGGAAGGGGAGGGAGGGTGGAGGGGAGCCGGCGGAGCCATAGCCAAATCTTATCCACGTCCGCTCCGATGGCGTATGACCATCAGAGACCGTGAATGTTCAATAGCGGGTACAGTGGTCTGCATTGGTGTGTGACAGTGCTAGTGCCAAGATAGGAAGCCTGGCGGTTAGGGAAATTTGCAGCACTCGTCATCCGCAGAACCTCATGTTCAATATTCAGCCACCTCTGTAATTCGCTATCGGGGAGGGGAAAGTTGAATATCAGGTGACTCTTGGGGGGCTGGACACAGCCCTGTTATTGTATTGTATTGGTATGGTAAGATTGAAAGTTACCATGGATCACTGATAGGGCATGATAAGCGCGATAAGGGGCAGCTATGAGCAATGTGGAGAAGCTTGAAAGTGATCCTATGATATGATGGCTTCTCCGCAGATTGAGTGAGTTTTATCCAATAATGGCACTCTCATGCAAGACAAGGGGGGGATACCAGCATTTGAGTCACCCGAGCACAAAGCACGCGACTTCGGAGGATGAGTTGCCTTGGAGAAACTGGGCCGTGCGAGGGGAGGTTGCCTATGGCCTATAGCAAGTTGAGATGCGTCAGGTACCCGGAGGAGATGACCATCTGCACCACCTTATTATATAGCTCTATTTCATCTCTTATTTGTGCCCGGATGATATCCAAACAACTTAAATTATACTCCAAGATGATACTAATATACCATGACATGTGGATGCTCTTTATCTTCCCCAACTTCCAAGGTTCCTGAAACAAGGGTGACCATACCATACGGTATCGGGTACCCCGTTCTCAGTCACTTCTCCACTAGATCGACATCGACAGGTCATCCGCCAGCGTAACCGTATGTAATCCCGCTTGCATCATCGATCCCCCGTCTCCTCCCTAGATAAGCCTCACCTGCTGCCCTTCTCCTCATCTTCTTTCTTCTCCTCTCCATCCAACCTATCCTTCACTCATCCTTTCCAACCTACAATTATTGTTTATCTATCTACCGTTCTTTTGCCCTGTTAACTTTTCCACTTTGCCCAGTATGAAAGGCTTCCTCAGCCTAACACTGCTTCCGTTGTTGGTAGCTGCTACGCCCGTGGCAGTAGGCTCCATCCACAATGACGCCGCTCCTATCCTCTCCTCCATGACCTCCCGAGATATCCCAGATTCTTACATCGTTGTGTTCAAGAAGCATGTTGACCAGGGGTCTGCGTTCGCTCACCAGAGCTGGTTGCAGGAGGTTCACTCCGCTCACACCGGTCGGATGGAGTTGAAGAAGCGCTCCCTGTTCGATTTCGACTATGAGGCTTTCATGGGCCTGAAGCACACTTTCCACATTGCTGGATCACTTATGGGATATGCTGGTCACTTCCCTGAGGATGTCATCGAGCAGATCCGCCGTCATCCTGATGTGAGTAATCTCATTCCCACCTTGCGGAAGTTCCCGAGGTCGGCGGCTAATCCCACTCAAAACAGGTTGAATACATCGAGAAGGACTCCGAGGTCCGCACGATGACCGATGGTACTGTTGAGAAGAACGCCCCTTGGGGTCTTGCCCGTATCTCTCACCGTGAAAGCCTCTCCTTTGGCAACTTTAACAAGTATTTGTATGCCGAGGAGGGTGGTGAGGGTGTCGATGCCTACGTAATTGATACTGGCACCAACGTTAAGCACGTTGACTTCGAGGGCCGTGCGAACTGGGGCCAGACCATCCCCCAGGGTGATGCCGATGAGGATGGAAATGGTCACGGAACTCACTGCTCTGGTACCATTGCCGGCAAGAAGTTCGGCGTCGCCAAGAAGGCCCACGTCTACGCTGTCAAGGTTCTTCGCTCCAATGGCTCGGGTACTATGTCCGATGTCGTCAAGGGCGTTGAATGGGCGGCCGAGGCTCACATCAAGAAGTCCAAGAAGGGCGATAAGAAGTTCAAGGGTAGCGTTGCCAACATGTCTCTTGGTGGTGGTAGCTCCCGCACCCTGGATCTCGCTGTGAATGCCGCCGTTGACGCTGGTATCCACTTCGCTGTTGCTGCCGGTAATGACAACGCTGATGCCTGCAACTACTCCCCCGCTGCCGCCGAGAAGGCCATCACTGTCGGCGCCTCTACCCTGGCTGATGAGCGTGCTTACTTCTCCAACTACGGCAAGTGCACTGACATCTTCGCCCCCGGTCTGAACATCCTCTCTACCTGGGTTGGTAGCGAGCATGCCACCAACACCATTTCCGGCACCTCCATGGCCTCTCCTCACATCGCTGGTTTGCTGGCCTACTACGTCTCCCTGGCACCCGCCAAGGACTCAGCCTATGCCGTCGCCGATGTCACCCCTAAGCAGCTCAAGGCCGCTCTTATCAGCGTCGCCACCGAGGGTGCCCTTACTGACATGCCCTCCGACACCCCCAACGTAAGTTCCCCTCTTATCTAGATACACGTGGATTAAGCTGACTTTATCTTAGCTGCTGGCCTGGAACGGTGGTGGTTCCTCCAACTACACCCAGATCCTTGCCGAAGGTGGTCACAAGGCTGCTTCCAAGGCTAAGGAGCTCACTGTCGAGGAGCGCATTGGCAGCATCATGGATAACGCCGAGAAGGCCTTCCACAAGGAGCTTGGCGCTATCTACAGCGAGATCAAGGATGCTGTCTCTGCATAGATTAGAAGTTTGTTAGGGTTATGTCAGTGACAGACCCAACAGCTCGGGCATATGGATGAATGGATCAACACAGGCGCATATTATATTTTCTTTGGTTTTTTTCTCGGTTTTTTTTTTTGGATTCTCCAACACGAATCCGCGGGTCTCCCGCCACTACACTCCTATTCACAGATTGTTCTTTGCTATTTCGCTATTTCGTTGCTTCACGTAGCATACTCGTCTACAACCATAACTGATTTAGAATGTGTTTTGATTTATCAGACCAATGATTTCTCTGGTATTGCACACTGTAAGATAGGTCCAATTGGGCCCTATGAAGTACATGTAGTCATACATTCAATATATGCTCTACAGCATGCCCTCGACTCGACCCATGTCAGCCTGGTGCTCTAAATTCCAACACCACTGACTCGCCTTGTCAGTCCGCTCTTCTCCCAGAATCCCAACACACTGATCAACGAACTTTGCTGTTAGCTGTTCATTCGTCATGGGGCGCTCCAAGCTACCGACGGCATAGTCAACATGCTTCTCAAGACTCGCCCCTCCCCTCACCTTCACGACAAGATGACACTCATCAGCCCGCAAACACTCATCAGCAACTGCTATGAACCGAGCCCTCAATGCCACAACCCGCTTATCAAGTACAACATCATCTTCATACTGCGCTGGCGCAGCCTTCCCTAACAACAAACCAACAGCACCACCATGATACACACTAAATTTAGCCTCCAACCCATCCCTCGGCGCCGTCTTCCCTGTCAACTCCAGAACAAGCGGATGCACATCCGCAACAACCTCTTCAACATCCGCAACATCAACCCCAACCCTCTCCAACTCCCCATGTAACCAAACACACCCATCAATAACAGGATGAACCACAATCCCACAAGGAAACGGCTTAAAAGCATTTCTCACAATCTCCCACCTCCCACTCCCAAGCCCCGCAATCTCCTCCTCCAACCTATTCCCCCCAGAACAAACAACACTAGCCCACCCCCTCTTCGCCTCAAGCGCCTCAACCGAACTCGTAAACCCCTCCCGCGCAAGCAAAGCAGCAATCAACCCATTCTGCGCCGCCCGCCCAGGATGAAAAGACTTCGCATGCGACCCAAACATCTCCCGCAACCCAGTAACCTGCGTAGCAGCAAGACCAATCGCATAAGCAACCTGTCCAACCTCCAACGCAAACAACTTCGCCACAGCAACAGCAGCGCCAATCGACCCCGTCGTCGAAGTAATATGCCAACCGACATCATAATGCGCCGGCCAGACAGCCAGGCCGATTTTACACTCTGCTTCGATACCAGCGACCAGCGCGGTTATGAACTCCGGCCCGGAAACGGGGCGCGAGAGAGTCGGGATTATGGCGAGGAGGGCACATGCTACTGGTCCTGTTGGATGGATGATTGTGTCTAGGTGTGTGTCGTCGTAGTCGTGGACGTGTGAGGCGATGCCGTTGAAGAGAGCTGCGTGCATGGCGTCGGTGGAGGTGTTTGTGCCGAGGAGGTGGGATGTTGGTGGTCCTGAGAAGGGGGACAGGGCGTTGCGTGCTGTGATTGTTGCTGTGTGTCTGCTTCCACCTACTATACATCCGGCTATGTTGTAGAAGCTTCGTACTGCGGCGTGGATTACTTCTTCTGGGAGGTCGGAGTAGGATAGAGAGACTGTCCAGGCGGCGAGGGTTTGTGTTGCCATCTTGGAATTGGTGGGTTGCTGACTCTATGTAACATGGGGAATTTGGTGGTTGAGTTTAGTGAGTAGATAGAGATAATTGTGATATTGGGATAGGGAGGTCCGATATAGGCGCTATCTAGGTACGTACTTCGGGTTTAATGGCGGGGACATTGTGGGGGAGCAGAGCCCACGACGTCATTTAGCATTCTTCCTTTTCTTTTCCTTTCTCTTTTTACTGGGCCGAGTAGTTAATGTGTTCAGGGGATCAGATGCCGGCTTAGAGACAATTACATAAATCTAGCTGCCTGCCCAAGTGATATTCACAAATTGGGTTCTTTGGGTCTTCTAGAATATAACCGCTAATTATCCCCTAATACTGTTAGTGGGTCACCTTTGATAGCTATTTCTAGACCTCTAAGGCTTTAAGGGACTCTCTCTATATATATATATATCTATAAATGTTGGTGGCAGCTGGTTAGCCGGTGAAAAACCCGGTTGGCGCGATGGACCTAAAAACGTGCCGTGCCTCGGGAGGGTTTATGGGTGAAGAATGATATGGAGGTACGGCTAATGCTAATGTGGCTGAAAGTTTGAGATATTAATGTTAGAATTTGATTTCATTTCGTTAAAATATCTGTGGAACATTGCAGCAGGGTATTGCATGTTGTCATAAACCATAACACCCATAATACTCGAAAATGCTCTCGCTAAACGCCTATCGTATGAAAAATCAGAATGGTACGCCGAGAATGCTGAATATGCTCGAAGAAGCAGCCGTGAAATCGTTGATCGTGCAGCAACTCCTCGGACGAAAGTGCGCAGAAGTTCATTACGCCTTCTTCGTCTCTGTGGAATCCTCCTTGTCCGATTCATCCTCGTCCACCTCTAGATCACTGCCGCTGGATTGGCCCATGTCGAGTTCGTCGTCGGAGTCACTGCCTCCGAACACATCGCTGTCGGCATCGCTATCAGCCCAGAAGTCATGGTCTTCCTTCTCAACGGGCTCGCGAACGGGAGTATCGTGTGTGGGCATCTCGAAGCCCTCGGGAATATCGAGCTTGGACTGATCAACATCGGCCTTGGCAAGCTCACGGTAAAATTCTGGGTCTTTGCGGAACAAGACGGCAGCGTCGACGTTCGCGGGAGAGGACGGCTCAGCATCGTCAAGAAGAGAGAGGATGGAGATCAGGACCGACTCCACGCGCTGCGCAGGGGACCAGCGCTCCGAGGCAAGCTCGCCGGACATCTCATCTTCGCCGGGCGCGTGAAGTATGGAGATGCAAAGATTGCCGTTGGTGTAGATGTTCGGGTGGTGGAGGGGCTTTAAGAAGCGGAACTCTGATGGCAATGAAAAAATCTCGTCAGTCACCATTAAATATAAGAAGGGGGAGAGAGGAAGATGTCATACTTGGTGGGGAATAAGGGTAGTTGGAGGGGAATGTCATAGAGGCTTTAAAGTAACCGCCGTAGTACATGGAGTCTGGGTTAATCACGATCAGGGCGACATCCCAGTTGAAAATGTCGTCATCGTGCAACTATACAGACATGTCAGTAACCTGCAAGTGTAGAAGTGTCAAGAGACACTACAGAGTAATAAGATGATGAACGTACCTGGACATGAACCCACTTCTCTTTGAGAAGGGCCTTAAATTCGTTCATGAGGATGCGCTCCGCCATGGCGATCACGGAAATTTGCGGACGTTGTGGCTGGAAGGATGTCGTGAGTAATTTGGGGCAATCTATTCTTATATAGGTAGGTGGCGAAGGCAACTATGCAAAATGAAGCTAAAGCGGTATTGAATCCAAAATGTTAGGCAATGAGGGGATCACGAGGATCGGGGGCAACTATGCCTATTGGGGCCAACGGGTGCCTGAAATTTCGGTGGCGACCGTGACTAAGATGGGGCGTCCGCCACCTCCCGAGGTCATTTCGAAGTCCTAAAATGTAGATTTTCTTTTCAATTGTCTCTCTATAATTACCTATAACTACTTCATATATTAAAAACATTACTTTCTTATCCTTCTAGCCATTACACTATTTGAAATAAATAGAAAAGACATCACAAAGAACAATTCAAAGACATTGACTTGAGAAATTGAATATTCTTATACGTCGTTACCCAATGATAGAGGCCTACCTACCTACCTAGGTATGAGCGGCCAACTATGTAATCTTATTCTCTATAATTTACTTCTTGGTATTTGAACTCACTATTCAATGTGCGACAATGATCTCGCAGCTTTATACGAAGTAGCAGTGATATTTGAATCATCAATGAGCGTCCTGTGACCTTCCTTGGAAGGTTGCAAAGTAGATGGATATGTAACATTCTACACTGTATTTTTACCTAAAACACTCGAATACACCTCACCTTGATTCCTGCAAGGATTCCTCAAGATGTCAAAACATAGGAGATTCATTCAATCGTTCCTTCGTATTCCAATGGACATGTTCCGCGTGAACTCGGGCACCTCTATTCGGCTCCGTGCCTGGCCAGCTCCTAGGCGACCACACGGCATGTTCGACCTGCTTACAACTGCAGGAAAAGTACAGACGAAGGCTCTCGACCCAGCTTCTTATGAATGTAAATTAATGACAGACTCAAAACATTCAGCTCACTAATATATCTCAGTCCCGAATGGTGCTTCCATGCGCCCCAACTCTAGAACACAGCAGAACCTCGTTCGCACTGTCAAACCCCGGGATGGCTACACTATTTATGTATACGCGATTATGGCTGGTTTGTTATTCTAAATTCTTGGAAGACCTCTTCCTCCATTGACCTGAGCTATGCAGGAACCGTTCTCCCCGAGGATCTCATTCTTGTCCACGAATTTCGCGACCATTACTCACTACAAGCCCGGAAGGAGATGACAGTGGAAGGTACTAGGAACAGGGCCTCTGATAAAAATAAGAGTGCTGGCTGACAATGAAATAAAGAGCTTAATGCAAAAATCGAAGCTCTCCTGGCTGCGAAGGGGCAGCGATTCACCAGGGACGAATGGTTGCAGCGATACCCCCAGGCGACGGAGTAACATCCTCTGGGCGGATGTTAGAGATCTACGTCATAAAGGATAGATACCGTGTACGCGGTCGAATACTCTTGTGTACGGTCAATGGAAAGAGCAATGAAATATGTACGGACTGTCTCTCAATTGATGGTTCTTCTAGGGCTCAGACCTTTGGCTCGATATTCAAGACTTACCATGACCCTTACTATGTATATCAAAATACGGACATTATGAAGAGATGGCAAAACACCGGTATCTTCCGCGCCAAGTCTGAAAGCTTGTGCAACTTTATTTTAGGAGCCTACGAGCTAGGCTATCCACCTCTCTTGGCCGTATAATGGGCAATTAAACTATAAACCAATAAAAGCCACCGTAGCGTAAGAGCATCCTAAGCTCTCTTTCACAAGCAATGACCCTAAACCGGGGAATATGAATTGGATCATAATTTAGCGAATGGGTATTGGAATACTACTTTATGTACCTCTTCCGGGTGATGTGATTAATTCGTCAGAGCTTCCCTTTTCGGTAAACGGTATGTATCTCATTAGAGGCTTTGTGTTTCTCGATTCAAAATCAAGACAATAATATTGTTTGTAACTATAGCGATGCTCCAAAATATTCTTTGTCATATGAGGCCCCTGCCAGGCCCCTGCGCTTAGCATCTCACGTCTCCCGAATCACCGCCTTTTCTCATATATGTCGAGGCACTCAGCTTTTCCAGCAAGCCTCTATCGATTTCAGATACACCGCGACTCGAGGCTTTATGACAGAGCTTCTAAACGAGATGACTGGCAATATGAGGATGGAATAGAGGTTAATGCGGACGGCTTGGTACACCCAAATATAACTGCAGATTGTATGCCAATGCCACTTCATGTGCTTTACCTGCTAACCTATTTAGTTTCGAATGGCGCATTATTCATGCCAAATACGCACTACATGCAAGAGGTCACACGGATATCGAACGATCATTACTTGGAAGACGTAGAAAGTGGTGATCCCGCCGCCGAAGCTCATTATTTGTGCATGCCTCAAGGTGATTAAGCGCCCTTGTCAAAATGTGCGAAACTGATTTTCCTCTATTAGGTACCGCTATTCCAAAGTCGTTGATTCTTTTCCGTGAGCGTACTTCTCGCTTCTCTCTACAACCTGCGCATCCCATATCACTTGATGGTATGCTCAAAATAAGTCTCGAAGAGTAGAAGAATTGCTAACATGCAGGAAAGACCTCAACAAAATCCTAACTCATTTTTATCTCGAATTTGGGCGCACGTTCAATCCAGACGCTTGGCTTGAGATGAACTACCATGAGGCATTTGTTGATGACCAAGAGGAGTGGATGCGCCACTAATGTGTCCATTAAATTGTACCTCATCGACTCCCCATAGAACGGTGACTCCAATATATCCAAGGTTCTAGATGTATAAAGAACGATAAGACGTTTTTACAGTGGAGAAACGATAAGCAGACTGAGACAAGTCATATCCCCGAATCCAATGGTGAAAGAGTAATTACCCCTCGGGCTCCTAAAGGAGTTTAAGTCGATAAATAGCATTGAGATCAAACTTCGTATGCGGAAATATTATTAATTAGTATATGGTACCTCGCTCCACCAGCAAAATTAGGTGGTGGCTAATGTCACCCTCTACCGGGAGTCCGTCCACCGCCGGTTTTGGAACAATTTGCCATTTTCTCTTCTCCCCCCTCCCCCAAAGAATATCTCAACACCTTCAATATATTTGATCCTTTGCTTTGCAGAATCTGAGTAGTTCCCCTGCTCTTTTGCCTCAACGGCCCTCGGTCCCGGGACCCTCATCCCAGCGTCACAGTTCATCTCGAGTTTGCAATGCCAGCCTTGTCCGGCAATCCAGTAAAATATTGTTGCTAAAGGGTTTACAATAATCAAATCCCGATCGCATTACCCATTCATTACTATCGCCAGCTGAAGAGCTGTGTGATCGAGTCGCCCGAGGTCCGAGAGCTTCAGTTTTCTGCGAGCTTTGCGGTCAACCATGCTGCCGCAATGTCAAGGCCCCGTCTGGGCTATTGACGACCTGTCTCGTTGCTTCCAGCGCAAGTGAGTCTACCCCAATAGATAATTCCGACCGTTGAAATTTTATGCTGATCACAAGATATTTTTTACTAGCATTCTTCAGGTTATACTTCCCCTCACGGTCTGCGGCGCTTCCCTGTTGCTGATCCTATTTCGCCTTGCCCATCGATATGTCGTCACCCGAAAACGTATCGCTTACAAGGTCATCCCGAACAATGACTCCGAAGATGAGGTCCCCAGTGCGACCCAGGAAAATGAGTCCGATACGATTTTGTCCCAAGCTGTACAATATGAACAATCTCAGGTCGAGATCGATCGCCCGCGCGGAGAGGTTACCGTTGTCATACTTGAAATCGCAGCTTTAATTGGACAAGTTGCGGTTTATATCGTCATTTTGTCGACTCACGCCTGGGGCCGACATGGAACTCTTCCCGCCGCGGCTGGGCTTGTATCTTGGGGCTATATCCTTTTCTTGGTGCTGGTCCGGTTCCTCCTATCGACCATGGATCTTTCCTCCGCCCCGAGACTATGGACCCATACGGCAATCCTATACAGCTTCCAGTGGTTGTTCAACATCATGGTCTTCCGATCCGCCATTATCCATCCCTTATCTCGGAACGCCCTGATCCTCAGCAGCGTTCAGTTCACTCTGAGTACGGTGCTGCTGCTCATTGCACTCACCACTCGCCGAGGCAATAAGCCAGTTCTGGTTGAGCGAGAAGATGGATTGGAACCTCCGACGCATCCCATGGCCAGTTTGTTCTCTCTTGCCACATTTTCCTGGCTCGATCCTTTGGTCATGAAGGGCTATCGTCAACCCCTGGAGCTTGCGGATGTTTGGAACCTGACTCCGTCTCAGAAGGCTGCGAACGTGCTTACAGAATTCCGCAAGAGACACATGAAAGGCTCTCTGGCATGGAAGCTGCTTCGGTTCTTCATGGGGACGATTCTAAAGCAGGGTGCATGGACAGTATTTGCCAATCTATTCGTTTTCATGCCTAGTCTACTCCTTAAGGCTATCCTTGAGTACGTCGAAGATCCTCGGTCGACCACGCCCAATGCGGCTTGGTTGTTCGCCATTCTGCTTTTCTGTTGCGCTACGGTCCAGGGTGTGGCAGACGGACAAGCCTTATTCATTGGTCGCAAGATGGGTGTGAGAATCCGTGCGATCATTATTGGTGAAATCTATGCCAAAGCTCTTCGCCGCAAGGCAGGCGCTTCCGTGGAGGCTGCCCAGAAAGCAGTAGAAGATCCAATCTTGCCCAAGGACAAGAAGAAGAAGTTCTTCTCCTTTGGTCGCAAGAAGAAGGATGCGAATGGAAATGATGCCGAGGCTGGCAAGAAGCCAGACCCCCTAGCAGAGGAACCCACACAAGCCAATGTCGGTACAATCATCAACTTGATGGCGATCGATTCGTTCAAGGTAAGCGAGGTTGGCGCCTATCTCCACTTCTTGTGGGCTAGTGTGCCAGTCCAGATCATAATGGCGGTTATTCTACTCTACCACATCATGGGCTTCAGCTCGTTTGCCGGTATCGCCCTGATGGCCCTCATGCTGCCTATCAACCTTTTCATCGCCCGCCAGTTCAATAAGGTCCAGAACCAGATTTTGAAGGGCACCGATGCCCGTATTCACGCCACTAACGAAGTCCTCCAAAACATTCGGATCATCAAGTACTTTGCCTGGGAGCAGCGATTCCAAGACATCGTCGGCGAGAAGCGCAAGAACGAACTAAAAGCCCTGCGCAGACGATACATCCTCTGGTCATGTGCCGCAACCGTCTGGTACGGCACGCCTATTCTCATCACGTTCATGTCCTTCTTCTTGTACACTGTGGTCGAGAAGAAACAGTTGACCCCTTCGATCGCTTTCCCTGCCTTGTCCATGTTCTCGTTGCTGCGTGTGCCCTTAGACCAGCTCGCGGATATGGTGGCCCACGTTCAGGAATGTAAGGTTTCCCTAGACCGTGTGGACAAGTACCTCAACGAGGAGGAAACGGGCAAATACGATCAGCTCCGTGATAGTACTACCGCAGGAACACCTGCCAAGATTGGTCTTGAAAAGGCGACCCTATCCTGGAGCACTTCCACTGCTGAGGATCAAGATACATCCGATGCCGACTTGGACGCTTTCCGTTTGATTAATATCGACGTCGAATTCCTTATTGGCAAGCTTAACATTATTGCTGGCCCCACTGGATCCGGAAAGACATCCCTGCTCATGGCCATGCTTGGAGAAATGAAACTTCTCGAGGGTTGTGTTCATCTCCCGGGTGGAATGTCCAACAGGGCAGATCTCCCGGTGGACCCTGAAACTGGCCTGGTTGACAGTATTGCTTACTGTGCCCAGGAAGCTTGGTTGGTCAACGACACCGTAAAGGAAAATATCATCTTCGCCTCTCCCTATGACGAGCGTCGCTATCGTTCAGTCCTCAAGGCATGCGCTCTGGAACGCGACCTTGCTATCCTTGATGCTGGTGATCAAACTCTTGTTGGCGAGAAGGGCATCAGTTTATCTGGTGGCCAAAAGCAGCGAATCTCTCTTGCCCGCGCTATCTACAGCAGTGGCCGCCACTTGCTGCTAGATGACTGTCTCTCTGCTGTTGACTCTCATACCGCCAAGCACATCTTCCGCCAAGCTCTTACTGGCCCACTGATGTTGAACCGCACATGCATTTTGGTAACACATAACGTCAGTTTGACTGTTCCCCAAGCGGATCACGTTGTGGTGCTTGAGAACGGCAGAATTTCCGCCCAGGGCCGTCCCAGCGATGTTGCCGCTACTGGTGCATTGGGCGATGAGTTCATCAAGTCTCGACCCGAATCCCGCGCCAGCTCCCGTGGAGTCTCCCATCCCCCATCGGATCATGAAGCAGAGGATGAGGATTTGAACGGCACCGCGAATGGAAAAGCCCAAGAAGACAAGGCCCAGCTCTCTGAATCAAAGGCTACTGGTAGTGTCAAGTGGTCGACCGTCACCATGTACCTCCGCGCCATGGGCCCATGGTATTATTGGATCGGTGCTGTTCTGGTGTTCTGCTTACAACAATTGGGCTCCGTTTCTACCAACCTCTGGATTAGACAGTGGGCAAACTCTTACCAGAAATCCAAGGTTGGAAGTGAGGATGCTGGGCAGTACGCCGCCGCCGCTCACCTCAAGCCGCCCACTTTCAACGTTGGAAACGTTGGGCGCGTGAGTAGCTGGAGTCTGCCCCAACTTGGCGCAAGCTCTACCGGCGAGGCTGATGGGGAGGTCAACGTGGCTTATTACTTGGGAGTTTACGCACTCCTGGGATTCCTCTATATCGCAATCTCTTTGTCTCGGGAAGCTGTTCTGTTCTGGGGTTCGCTCCATGCATCATGGAAGATTCATGATCGCCTTCTCAGGGCGGTCATGCACGCCAAGTTCCGATTCTTTGACTCCACGCCTCTTGGACAACTGATGAACCGGTTCTCCAAGGATGTTGAGTCTATCGATCAGGAAGTCGCTCCTGTTGCTATCGGCATGCTCCACAGTCTGGCATCTGTGATTATGATTGTCATTCTGATCTCATGGATCACGCCAGGATTCTTAATTGCCGGTGTGTTCATCACCATGGTATACACTGCCCTCGGTGCCGTCTATTTGAACTCTTCCCGAGACCTCAAGCGTCTGGAATCTGTGCAGCGTAGCCCGCTGTACCAACAGTTTGGTGAGACCCTGAACGGTATCGTCACCATTCGTGCCTATGGCGATGGTCCTCGCTTCATGGTCGACAACCACCGCCGCATCAACGCTTACAACCGGCCACACATCTACCTTTGGGCTAGCAACCGCTGGCTGGCTCTCCGTGTCGACTGGACCGGTGCTCTGGTCGCCTTCTTCTCGGCTACCTTTGTGTTGTTGAACGTTGGCACGATCGATGCAGGTGCCGCTGGTCTTTCACTAACCTACGCCGTTACATTCACAGAGAACGTCCTCTGGCTTGTGCGTCTGTACTCCGAGGTCCAGCAGAACATGAACTCTGTCGAGCGTGTCAGAGAATATCTTGAGGTGGACCAGGAAGCAGCTTCTGTTATTGACGAATCACGACCTGCATCCGATTGGCCCAGCCAAGGTGCGGTCGAGTTCAATAAGTACAGTACCCGGTACCGCCCCGATCTGGACCCGGTTCTCAAGCAGGTTTCGTTCTCTGTAAAGGCCGGCGAGAAGGTCGGAATTGTGGGTCGCACAGGTGCTGGCAAGAGTTCTCTCGCGCTGGCTCTCTTCCGCGGCCTCGAAGCCGAGGCGGGTCAGATCATTATTGACGGCGTTGACATCGGGTCAATTGGATTGCGCGATCTGCGCGAGGCAATCACCATTGTCCCCCAGGATCCCACCCTGTTCACAGGAACCCTCCGCACCAACCTCGATCCATTCAGTCTCTTCAGCGACGAGCAGATCTTCTCAGCCCTCCGTCGCGTGCACCTAATCGGCTCCAGCATCTCAGGCACTGCAACCCCCACAACCGCAAGCTCGCTGACCGCGACGGAAACCAACGGCAACATCAACGGCGTGAGCAGCAGCGCAGTGACAGTAGTCGACAATAAAAACGTCTTCAACAACCTCGACAGCCAAGTCTCGGAGTCCGGCTCCAATCTCTCCCAAGGCCAGCGACAGCTCCTCTGCCTCGCCCGCGCCCTGCTCAAGAACCCCCGCGTCTTGATGATGGACGAAGCAACTGCATCCATCGACTACGCCACCGATGCCAAGATCCAAGAGACCCTCCGCGAACTGAGCAATAGCACAATCATCACGATCGCGCACCGTCTGCAAACTATCATCGACTACGACAAGGTCCTTGTCCTCGACCACGGCCGCGTCATCGAGTATGACCACCCCTGGACCCTCATCAACCAAGAAGGCGGCCTCTTCCGCGGCATGTGCGATAACAGCGGACAGATGGATGTTCTCCTAGATGGGGCCCAGCGCGCTTGGACGCAGAAGCGTCTTGTCGATGATTCTTAAAGCAACGGCGCTGTTACTCCCTTCTTTTCTCATTTCCCCTATCTTATAGAATCTCTCGCGTACATATCCATTGTTACCCTACTTTGTCTATTACCTGTTCTTGGTTTCCCCCCGCTCATTCCTCGGGGCGGGGATGCAAAAAAGAGAGAGCGAGAGAGACATCAATGTAATCATCATTTTTCTGGCCGGGAGGCTTCATCATTATCATCTATTCTAAGATTATCATGGTTCTGCTCATGGCTTACCTCCTCTCGCACCGGTGGCGTCTTCGTTTGCTTTTTTTACCTTCCTTTTTGCTATATTGCACATGCACTTGTTATCACATCTTTTCTGTCTTTTTGTAATCTTACATCTATTGGATGGCACATATCGTCAGAATCTATGCTTATGATAGAGAATGAGAATGCTTGCGATATTGCTTGAGATTATGTAGAGCTTTTTTTTGAATATATCATTAGCTCAAGGAGCTATGTGCTATGTGCTAGTTATCTTCGTTCATGGCGCTTCCTTAATGTAGCAATCATTGATGCATTTGTATTCAGAACAATAAGCATACATTGGCCTGTGACACTGACAAACACTGTATCTGGAGATGATCCCACTGAATGGGTCTTCAATCTGAACATGCCTGCCCATCTTCGATGCCCAAGCTGCTTCTTCGTTGCCTCTTCGCCTGCTCAGCGAGCCTAGAACATGAAGATCCTAGGATTTCATTCCGCCCGCATAAACATGCCATCCTCAATATCTCTTCCACTCAAATTTCATTCTCATTTCTTGTCGCGAGTCGGTACGGGAAGGTTCCAGTTGGATCACAGCATTCGAGCCATCACGCAGGGTTGGACTTGTCAGGATATCCACCCGAGCCCTAATTCCAGAGCTAGTATTCCCCGATTTCCCGACGTATTCCACGAAATCGAAAGAATCCCATATCGGGGATGGGGTCGATGGGGACTGCTCAAGTCCCACAGTAATCAAACAAGCCTCCGACCGGGTGGGGAAAGGACATAGCTCCCAAGGCCGGAATATCCCATGGGAAATCGCATAGTCTGACAGAATCCCCAGCTTCTCTTCGTAAAGCGCAAGAAAAGGAAGATAAGTTTTTCAACAAAATTAATCCAACCACACCCCCATTCTCACTTCTTCGTGCGGATCCCCCTCAGTATGGTAAAGAAGCACACGATCGCAGCGGAGACAACGAAGAATCCAAACGGCGGCCAGTAAATCGGGTAATCATTCGATTCCAGTGTGACGGCCGATTCTTCCAGACGGGACTCGGAGTGCGACAGCGACAGCTTCAGCTTTGTGTCTTGTGCGTATCTATCCGGTTTTGCCGGAGTGCCGATCGCTACATCCGGATTCGGAAGTGATTTTTGAAGCTCCGTCTCCGAATTATGCACGGGTCCAGACTTCGATTTTGATGGCGTTGACGAGTGCACGAATCCTGCTTCACGTATGGCGGTTTCTTTCAACATTGCTCCGAGCTCATCTCGGTCGGGGAGGGTCTCGGGGAAGTAGTAGCGCTTATTGTGTGACGCAAGGGATTTGGATGCGATTGAGCTTTCAGAGGGTGTTGGAAGGGCGAGAATTTGGATTGAGTGCATTAATATGAGGACCAGGGCAAGTTTGCCGGCCATCTTCTGGTATTGCGATTGCGATATGGTGATATGGTGATATGGTGATAACGGAGGGCCACGGGTGCCCAGGGATTTGATTTTGATTTAAGATCGACGTGCTTTTTTTCAAGGGTATATGGGTATAGAATAAGAATAAGAGAGAAGAGATAAAAGAAGAGCACGTGGAGTAGTATTCAGAGCGGAGTGCGTATAGTTATGATCTACCTAGGTAGTATGATTTACTATGATTTACTAGTATGACTTAATCCATTTAAGTCCATACCAAAGCCCAGGCCCTTCTCTTTATAGCCTTACCAGCCAATAGATCATAGCCTTATGAACCCGTGGATCTTCCCCTAAGCAACTTTTACCGAAGCCGCATTCATACAACATTATCCCTCCAATAATCTCGAATATATGAAACGGAGTTACCCTGCGAAAAGCGCCACTGGCGCAAAAACAGCTTCCCGCGCGAAGACGAAATGCGCCAAGATATCCCCGTGCATGGCAATATTAGCCTGTAGACAGCCGCTAATAATCAGCTCTGCGGGATCCCGCGCGCGGTCTCATAGTGTCACTGACGTGATTCATCTGCTGCAGTACATCCCCAGACTGAAGGGTTGGAACTGTTACGAAGCTCATCCGAGGACATTTGGAAGGTCTTTCGACTTACGCATCTTGGAGATCTTAAAGGGAAAGGTAGATGTTGCGTCGTTGGAGATGAATATGGTAGGCGACCGTGATATCTTATGAGGTAAAGGTCGAAGACTTGCTATCTGAGGTCGAATTCGCTAGTGTTGTGGCTGATTAGTCTGTTGATATGCCGCGGGGTAAGGACTAGTCCGTGTTCTTGTTCTTTATTGGACGTGCACTTATCAGGGGTGCTGCACGTACTCAATAAAGCCATGCAGATGCTCCTAAGCCCAAGCTACATGGGCTACAACACATATGCGAGAGATTGCGCGATTTGCACACAACCAATAAGCACCGTTCCGATCAAAGTGAGCATGTAGATAGAATGCACGCCAATGATACTCAACCCGACAATTATATAGCTCGCTGTGAAGAGAACGCCCATAACTTCCTTATCATCTAGCCTCCCAATTTATCCGCCATGGAGTATGATTGGGTGGTTAGATAGTACTTGATTTGGGGTATACATTGTTGGGGTATGTAAGATGAGGTTATCTATGTTGGGGTAGACCTCTACCAACGGCGTGGAGATAGATCTTCAAGTCTAACCAATCCGATAACTCTATCTTGCGCCGATAACAATTAATACCTACCTAGGTAGGTCCGGGGTATTGATTTGGGGTACAGGTCATATTGGATGAAAAAGGATAGACAGATATATATATCATTGACCAGAGCAGATACCATTATTTGTGATCCAATTAAGAAGCTATTAAGGTATACTCTTCATAGCTTCGATGAGAACCGGTGACTTCTCTAATGTCGCACCAGCCTTCGCAGGCATCAAGGCCCCAGGCGGAGGAGTGTTCTTATTCTTGAAGTCGTCGCAAATCTGTTCCATCGTCACAAATTCAACACCCTCGTGCTTTTTGAAGTGTTCAATAAGCCTATCAAACGTCAGTCATACTCCGCGCAACGTTATCATTAGATCATACCTTTCATGCATCAGTAGCACATGAGGCCTTCCCGAAACATCCGGGTGGATAGTAATCGGGAAGATAAACTCATCATACTCACGATAGAAGTAGTCAAAATGGTCGCGCCAGATATCTTCCACATCCCGCGGGTTGACAAAGCCATGGCTGTTGGGCGCGTTCTTGATGAACAACATGGGCGGTAGATCATCAATGTACCAGTTAGACGGGATTTCCACAATTCCTGTTTGGGGTCCATGTTCAAGAGGCTTCATCCAAGTCTCCGCCTTCTGTTTGTAATCGATCTTAGTCCAGCTGTCGCCTGTTCGGAGGTAGTAAGCCTGGCAGTCCTCGTGGCTCATGCTGTGGTCGTACTCGATGCCGTAGTCTAGGAGGAGCTGGGCTCCTTCTCTACTAGTTTCCCACCTATTTGGATCTAATTAGTTCCGCGGATGAATCCCAAATTCAAGAAGATTGTACCAAGGTGCCACACTTCCTCGAGGAGGCTTTCCAACAAACTCAGTCAACATCCGATATGTCTTGTCGAGCACATCACGCTGCTGCTCAATAGACATGTCGGTCGGGTTCTCGTGGGAGTATCCGTGGAGGCCGATCTCGTGGCCCGCGTCGCGGACTGCGGCCATATCCTCCGGGAAGGTCTCGAGGGAGTGGCCGGGAATGAACCATGTTGTTTTGATATCATATTTCTTGAACAGCTTCAGCAATCGTTGGGTTCCAACTGTCCCTGCCCAGTAGCCTATATGATAGTTAGCAAGATTCTAGAAAGAGGCCACTGAAACTTACCCCTGCTGATATCGTTTGTGGAATCCTCTCCACCATACGAGCCTAGCCAACCGGCTACAGCATCAACATCCACGCCATAGGTAATGAGAACTCGCTTTGGTGCCATTGCTGATTGTTCAAATTTGGAAGGGAAATTGCTATGTTGTAGCGGGTTGGGTTGAGCTCCAAGTGAATGCGGGGAAGAGCCCGTTAGGCATATCTCCGACTGGCTGACAATTCCACCTTCACCTGATTCACCGATTCATAGATTTACACGGTCATTTCTATTTGTTCACAACATTCCCGTTATCCTCTCTGTGGACGGACTCCATTCATGCCGAGAGGTCTCCAACGCAATTGGGGTCTATGTTGGGGTAGGTGTTGTCTCCAGTGAGGCAATGAGACCCATTTTAATGGACTCCAAGGTATACAGTGTTGGAGAATACCAAAGGACGAGGAAATAAATCTAATGGAGATTCCTCATAAACCGCGACATCCCCAGAGGATGGTGTCAACGGATCCAACGGTGTCATAGAGCGATAATGTCTGTTCTTTTCACAAATATTTCAGAGTAAGGGTTTCGATATTCAGCGATTGCATCATATTGACTGAATATTGTTATAGGAAAAACCCCGTCAAGCCGGGTGATGCGGAAGCCCTCCTCAAACCGCTCGGTCTGACCATCGACCCAACCGAGTCGCAAGATTTCCACACCCTTCTCGCAGCAGTCCACGACTGCGCCGAAAGCATAGCCGCCTTGCCAGACTATCAACCAGTCCCCAATCAGATCAAGTATCCACGGGAGAATGTGCGTCGACCAAGTGCAGAAGAACAGGTTTTCGGGCAAGCCTGGGCACATCGATTTCTCATCCGGGGTAATCCCGAAGGCGGGCCGCTGGCAGGTACATCCGTCAGTTTGAAAGATGTCATTGCGGTTGCAGGCGTGCCACAGCTTCTGGGAAGCGATATCATTCCTTCCTGGACACCGACTACGGACGCGACGGTTGTAACGCGGTTGCTCGAGGCGGGCGCTGATATCCATGGCACATCAACGTGTGAGAATCTTTGCCACTCTACTTCGTCGTATACCAGTGCTCAGGGTACGGTGGAGAATCCACATGCGAAGGGTTATTCGGCGGGTGGGAGTACCTCTGGCGGTGCAGCGCTGGTCGCCGCTGGTATAGTGGACATTACGATTGGAGGTGACCAAGGCGGCAGTATACGCGTTCCCGCTTCGTTTTGTGGATGTAAGATGTCTTCCTCCCCTGAGAGTGTACGTTCCGGGAGCTAACTTGTTTCTAGGCGTCGGGCTTAAACCAACCTATGGGCGCGTTCCTTTCACTGGGTTTGCTAGCGGCGACGCTATGGATGACCATGCTGGTCCGCTAGCCCGAACAACGCTTGAGATTGCGAATTGTCTAGATGTTATTAGTGGATACGATGGCATCGATGATCGGGCTGTCGGTAGCTCGAAACCAGGCTCTACTAGATTCGCAGCAATTCAGCAGAGCCCAAACACACTTGACGGCTTCAAGGTCGGCATTCTTGTTGAAGGATTTGACCACAGCGCAGTAGACCCCCGTGTTAAGGGCGCAGTATTGACTGCCGCCCAGAAATTCAAAGATCTGGGAGCAACAGTCGAGGAAGTATCTCTTCCCGAGCATCTGCAAGGGCCTGCACTCTGGACCATTCAACAGCGAATTGCTGGAGCGCAGACTCTTTTGGGCCAGAACACGGGCCGAAGAGGGCTTTACATGTCTGAGATGGAGCATGCGAGACTTCCATGGACCGATGATGGTTTCCAGAGGGCATTCCCATCCACAAAGAACGTTATCATTAACGGTCTCTATCTAATGCAACAATTCCCTGGTCTCTACGGCAAGACTGCCAACCTTGGACGACTTCTCAGTGACAAGTACGAAGCGCTGTTTGAGAAGTATGATATCCTGGTAATGCCTACAACGCCGGTTGTTGCCCCTCGACATGGAAAGCGAGAACTCCCGTTGGACTCCCTCAAGCCTAGTATGGGTCTTACAATCAACACAGCCATCTTCAATGTGACGGGTCACCCGGCATTAACTATACCCGTCGGCTTTGCTCCGGCAAAGGAAGATAACCAGGTCATGCTGCCAGTTGGGATGCAGATTGTTGGTGGATTGTGGCAAGAAGAGAAGATCCTGCGGGCTGGGCATATATGGGAGACTCGTTTTGACTGGAAGAAGATGCAGTACTGTGCAGATAAGAACTAGACACCAATTCACGTCCGTCACATTCAAGCGTTTGAATTGATATCCTGTCTGTGGTATCAACATGTAGTTAGACCGTTATATATCCACCATCAACCACCATGGCATGGCCCTGTACAAACGATGCCTGTGTTGAACACAAGAAAAGAATTACATCAGCCGCTTCTGCTGGCTGACCCATTCTCTTCATCGGCGCGGTCTGTACTGCTGGCATGATGACGTCACGAACCTCAGGCTTCTCCATTACTAGTGGCGTTTCAATAACCCCCGGACAGACACAGTTAACTCGAATCCCATATTTGGAATAATCGATCGCATCTGCACGTGTCATTCCAATGACAGCAGCCTTCGATGCACAATATGCAGCTATCACAATATCAATAAGGCGTTTCACGGATAGAAAAACAACACTTACGAGCACCCGGTCGGCTGACAATACCAAGTTGACTGGCGACATTTACTACAGCACCACGCTGAGGTGGACGATTGACGTCATGGCTAGGTAGTTCGCTTTGTGAGACCATTTGCCTGAGCTCTGCACGAGATGAGAGCCAACAGCCTCGGTAGTTGATGTTATTGACGCGGTCGAATTCTTCAAGTGATGTCTCTGCTGAGCGTAGAGACTTACCAAGAACACCGGCGCAATTCACGGCGTAGTCTACTCGTCCGAATTCTTGTACGACTGCATCAATGAATGAATCTGCGAATTGGTCGTCTGCCACGTTCCCGGCCTTTACTAGTAGTTGAACTTCGGGATATGTAGATGTGATAACTTCTGCCGTTTGGTGTAGAGACTCTTCATTGAGGTCTGTGATAGCGATTTGCTTGCACCCAGCTGCAGCAAAGGCTTTTGTAGTTGCAGCACCGATTCCTGTTCTGTGAGTGACTAATATTGATATTATGGGTGCTTGGCCTACCCGTTCCACCTGCACCAGTAATTACCGCAACACCAGGAAACATATCGGGTGATTGAGTCATTTGTAACGAGGAATAATCCAAATATCTCTGAATATTCAAGTTGTATAGACATCTATATCTCCCGAGGTCACCTCCAAATATCAACCCCACCTTTATCGCTTATCGCGGGCCGAAAGGTCCCGGCGGGCCTCAAGTTGGAGCAGTTGGGGTCGAATCTCCCACGACATCCACTTCAACAAGGCATCATATTCTCCAAGTTCTCCATCCCCCAATGTTTCAATGTCCCCCTCACCCCAGTCGCACAGGGGTGCTCGTGGAGCAAGGGCACGTATTTGTATACACTGCGGTCGGAGTTTCCGACGAACTGAACATTTGGAGCGACACATTCGCACTCGTAAGTAATTTCCGGGGAGACCCCCAGCTAATGCTAACTCGGTAAAAGACACTAAAGAGAAGCCATTCATTTGCTTCTGTGGGGCGGCCTTTACTAGAAGAGATCTATTGAAGCGTCACACACGCATCTCACATCAAGATGGTCTGACCTCACCGACACCGCCCGAGCCAACGGCGAAGGCGGATTTCCAGCCAACGCATCAGCCTGCATCGATCCCTCCGGAATATGATACACCAAATAGGTCCCTACCCGTGGCACCCCTTACAGGATCATCGGCTGTGCACCAATGGGCTGGGTCACAGAACACGCCTTATTTAAACCAGCACAATAATGCCGGCATGATTCCTGCTGCAGGAGCTCCACACCCGGTCATTGATCCTCATACTGGTATGGTACATGATCCGGATATGCTTCAAGCTGCCCAGTTGCTTCTCCCAGGTGATTACAGACCTACAGGTGCGTTTTTTTAATAGTTGCTCAAATATATACATCCTAATATCCCGTACAACATGGAATGCTAGTCATTCCCTTTTGGGATGATCTTTTGCTTTGACGCCAATTCTTGGAGATATATTGGTCTGACAAAAAAAAATAGCACAACCGATGCCCTATTTGCCGGAGGATTTGAATCATTTCCAAGAATTCACCCATTTCTTGGATTCCATTGGCTTGCCCGGGGAATGGGTTCCCAGCGAAGGCGAAAGATCTCAGACACAGGAGGTTAACCTGGACGACGTGAGAGAGGCAGATCGACATACCCAAGAGCACCATGAGCGGCCACGACGAAGCGGAGAAGGTTCCCGGGGAGACTCACCATTCAGGTCCTGGCTTCCATCTGTGCCGAGGGGCGACCAAAGCCTAGGGACCCTATCTGATTCTGGTATATCACACCATATATTGCTATGATTTTATAGATCACTGACAACATTTCAGAACCACCCCAAAACGCGAAAAGACCGTCACGGTTCAATGTCACCGAAGACCAACGGTTTCGGCTTGCGGCATCTCTCGAAGAATTTCGCCATGTCATTCCGGACTTCGTCCTGCCGTCCCGTCATACATTGACCCGGTACCTCACATCCTATTTTGAAGGATTTCACCCACATCTTCCGTTTATGCACATCCCGACTTTTAATATCAACGAACGCGCCCCCGAGGTGGTTCTTGCTATCATGACGATCGGAGCCCAGTACAGATTTGAGCACCGCAACGCAGAAAGAATATTCCACGTCTCCAAGGCAGTTTTATTTGAACGGATGTCTAGAGAGCCCCGTTTCCCAGCCAAGCCAAGTTACAATTCAGGCTCTCAAGTACCGCTGGGGATATCTCCTTATTCCAACTTTGGCGATCAGTCCCTCACACAGCCACAGGTGTCAGCGGAAAGAACTGCTGTTTGGAAGCAGATTGAAATCACTCGCTGTCTCCTTATTCTGATGGGCTACTCCACGTGGGAAAGCGCCAGACTGGTACAGGAAGCCTTCCATCTTCAGGGCTTGTTGGTTCGACATCTCCGCGAGGCTGGCCTGACAGAAGACACAACGCGCTCTGATCCACGTGCACCGCTCGACTGGTACGAATGGGCGGACCAAGAATCTGCGCGACGCACAAAGTTGATTGCATTCTGCTTTATCCATGTTCACAGCATCGCATACAATGCTTATCCATCTCTGCGCAGCAATGAGATACACCTGCGTCTTCCATGTTCTACCATCGAATGGACCGCTAGCACCGCTGCGGAGTGGGAAGCAGCCCAGCGAGAACGAGGTCCCCAACAGCTGTTCTTCCAAGACGCATTGACACTCCTCTTGCAAAAGTCCCGATCAGCCGTACCACTAGACCCTATCCCAGCGCCATTGGGTAACTATATCCTCTTGCACGGACTCCTGCAACGAATCCACCTCGTGAGCGAGCTATCGTTACCAAATGGCAACCAATCCACAACTCTTCCAACAGAGGAACTGAATAAACTAGAGCAAGTCTCCTACCCAAAAATCTTCCCCAAATCAACTCTAACCATCTATTCCATAGACGAGCTCTCCGCTCCTGGACCTCCGTGTGGCAACAAGCCCCAGAATCCAGTCTAGATCCGCACAACGCAAACGGTCCAATACCATTTACCTCCAGCGCATTCCTGGGTCTCGCATACGTCCGCCTATCTCTAAATCTCGGTCCTCACCGTCGCCTCGAGACCCGCGACCCGATAATAATAGCAACTGCACTCCGCCGCTCTCCACGCCCAGAACGAAGCTACCGTCTCATCCCGGCACTCATATACGCCGCTCATGCCCTCAGCATCCCCGTGCGTCTGGGCATAGATCACATTGCACGCAGTCAGGCCTTTTTCTGGAGCGTGCGACACTCGCTGGCCAGCATTGAATGTGCAGTGTTGCTAAGCAAATGGCTGTTCACCATTGCTGAAGCGGGACCGGATCAGTCGTTGAGTGGTATGTTCATACCCTGCTTGCTGGATGTAAGGTCTATCGGCTAACAATTTGATGCAGAAAACGAAACCCGCATTCTACGCTGGACGCGCTGTATTATCGAAGAGGCGTATTCGTCTATTGATACGGATGACGGCGAGGGACCGCCAGACCTGGAACCGGCTTCTTTGGGATTGGCTGTTCTCAAGCTATGGGCTAGGTTGTTTGGGACGAATACTCAGTGGCCGTTTATTAATGTTCTTGGACAAAGTTTGGAAGAGTATATGACTATGATTTGATGTGAATACTACGTCTTTGGCGTTTGTGTATATTGGAGTTTATTGGAACATAATGTATTCATGATCTCATGATCCCGTTGAATGAGCCTGACTTCTATCTATATCTAGCCTTGGAAGGCCTTTTGAGATTCCATTTCCGAATATTCCAAGTGAATGATCTCAAATGAAAATATTCAACTTATCTATGAGTAGATATTCAAATATCGAGTATCTACGAGTAAGTTGGGAGTAGATTATTACTGCCTGCATTGAATCGTGGCTAGTGATGATTCAAAATCATACATCGATGCTTGTAGACATGGCACATCACCGTCTTTTTGTGCTTTTCTATTTTCTCTTTTCATCAATTCAGATCTCATCCCCTGTTCATATTATCCCACGATTCACCAACTCCATTACTGCGTTCACCCTCACTGATAAGTACAGCAAAGCAAAGACCGTAACAAAGTGCCATCTACTGCCGATCTAGAAGAGTTCGATCAGCTCTCCCTCCACGGGAGATAACAGTAGTTCATTGACCATAGGAGTGAGCGAGACGTCGGCTAGACTCAAACTGCCAGCCATATTATCGTCATCTCCAACCGCAGCAGTAAGCAGGTCTACCTCTTGATTCTGACTTTTAATCCGACAGTGATAATCTTCTTCGAAGGCGATCAGATCATTGACGAGGGGTGTGAGAGGCTTGTTTTTCACTTCACTCGTGGCTTCGGCCTGGCCATCCCCAGCCCCGTCATATGTAGCCGTGTCTTCCTTGGCCGGGGCAGTAGGCTTGTCTTCTCCAGTAGTTTGAACTTCGGTTTTCGGATCATCGTCGTCGTCGAAGTTGATTAAGTCTCCTTCGACCGGAACAGTCACGTTCTCCCCGACTGTCGTAGTATCTGTCCGAGGACGTTTTCCTCTGTAAGGAAGCTCAGCCTGACGATTATTGCCGAAATTGATCAGGTCTCCTTCAACAACGACATTCTTCTTGACTTGCATGGTATCTATCCGAGGACGTTTCCCTCTAAACGGAAGCTCAACCCGAGGATTATCCACGAAATTGATCAGGTCTCCTTCAACTGGACCAGCGACATTCTTCTCGACTGGTGTATCACCTTGCTGGGGACGTTTTCCCCTAAGAAGGAGTTTAGCCCGACGATATTCATCAAAGCTGATCGGGCCTCCTTCAACAGGAGCAGCAGCAGCATTCTTCTCGACTGGCGTATCATCTCCCGGAGAGTGGTTACCTCTAACATGGAGCTTAGCCCGACGATAATCATCCACTATGGCGCCACCCTGTGCAAACGCCTGCCATCTGCGCACACCATGGGCAAACTGTGATTTATCTTCGTCTTTGACGAAAGAAAAGGTAAAGGCAGGGGTGCGGGCTGGGGCTTGGGGTCGGGTGATTGGACCGACCACTGCGTCGCGATCATCATCTTCACCGACATCATTCCAGTCGGCTCCAGCGTCAAAGACCTGGGTTTTGCTTTCCTTGCCCATGTCACAGAGGCAATCATGAGTGTGTGGTGGAGAGCATACACAAATGCATGGCTTGTTGCAGCACTCACGAATCTCACTGCAGCGCTGTTTGCAAGACACCCAGTCATGTTCAGAACTAGGGACGCAAGATAGTATTAGTATTTGGATGCATATGACCTATCAGTATTTGAAACTCACCCATGGCATTTACGGGGACACGGATGTCCGCATGGCAGATCCTTGCCACAAGGCTTGCTGCAGCCGTCGCTGATAGTGTTCCAGTCCTTGAGAGCTAGAAGAAACAGTTAGATTCTTTATTTATTTTTCATTGGTGTTGCCAGGCATGCGAGGGACTCACTTTCAATGAGGGTTTCTTGGTTGTGTCTTGCACAATACAGGGGCAGAGCCGGTCCCAACCGGGGGTCTTGTGGATCTTCAGACATGACATTGGTAACTGCATTCCAGAAACTGCTGTGTTTGCTAACACATTGTGCGTTTCCAAATATGTAGAGACCGTATTTGGCGCGGGACAAGGCAACGCACACTCTGTTGTCCTGTTCGAGAAAGCCGATACCTCGATGAAAATTGGATCGAACAAGGGACAGGATTACGATATCGTTCTCTTCTCCTTGATATGAGTCGACAGTGAGTATGTTGACGTATGTTTGGGCGACGTTGAGATTCTTTGCCTTCTTCCGCATGATCAACTTCCTTTGGCCATTGTAGAATGTCAGGACAGTGATGCTGGTTGTCGGGACCTTATTCATCACAAGATAAGCAAGGAGATTGACCACCATTGATGCCTCAAATTCATTAACCTTGGATAATAGACTGTCCGCGCTTTCTGACGAGGTGTGGTCGAAAAAGAACGATCGTTTCTCTCCCATACCAGGAACCAAAGGGTGATCCTCCACAGACGGATGATCGCGCAGACGATCCCCATAGATGGGAGCCACGAGCTTTCTTATTTCCGGCACCATTCGTCTTTGCTCTTGAAGCATGGCGTATGGCATTTTATTTACCACCAGACGCTCAAACATAGAGAGATCGAGGTAGAAAGGGTGGCCACACAGTTCATAGTCGGCACACTGACCCTTGAGCTGCAGATGATCGCCAACAAGAATGAGATGCTGAAGTGATGGGAGGCAAGCAACTGCAACTGGGGCCTCAAGTACTTCTGCTGCCTCCTCAATCAAGATGACTTGGGGGTTCAAGCTTGAGACCAGTCCTCTGTATTTGCTCAGACCAGTTGTGGTCATGCCGATGATCCTCGCCTCTTGAAGAATACAATAGTCCCGCTCAAATCTACCAATTTGGACATTGCTGGAGCAATCCTTGTAACTTTGAGCGAGGCGATGCACATATTCTCCCATAATAGCGATCAGCTGCTTGCGCATGTAACAATAAACAGCACCACGATATCTCTTGTGGATGTTGTAAAGGTCCTTCTCTTTCAGCAAAATTTCAACCGTTGCCCGAGAGATCTTGCCATTGTTGGAGCCACAAAGACCAGGCGACAACGGGAAAAAGCGGGTTTTGAAATCCGACCAGTCATCCTCATATCTTCCATGTTCGACTTCAATCTCCTTCAGTTGCTCGTACTCACGGTCAATATCGTCATCAATAAATCCGAAGCCACCGACGTATTTGTAGTCGAACTCCCTCACAGAGTCTGTAAGCCAAGCCATCAAAGGATCGGCGTTTGCAGGAGCATTGTATTGCTGCCATTTATGTGCTACTTCCTCCAAGGAATTAACCTGCTCTTCGCTCAAAACACCGTGCTCTCGGAATAAGGATGCTGCAAGAGGCTTGTTGCTGTTTGATGGCGCAAATGGCTCCAGGAGCTTACCAATCTCACCCGCGAGTTTGTTCTGTTTCTTTATCATTGGAGTCAACAGACCTCCCTCAATTTTTAATAGCCCTTGGGTCTGTCTAATCTCATAAGGGGTGCGCTTGCGAATCTCAGGATCGGTAGTTCTTCCACCCAGCCGGACATAGTTTTTCTCAAACACTGAGATATGCTTAATCAGTTGATCGAGAGCATGGTTAGTTTGAGCTGCGATGATAATAGGCGGATCATTTGACCTCTTGCCTGAGAGCATCATTTTTAGAGCAGCGATGGAGGTAAAGGTCTTTCCTGTTCCAGGAGGACCCTGAATGATGGCCAGCTTTTTAGTCAACATTCGGTTCAGGGCTGACCATTGAGATGCATCTAGCCTTCCCATTGGTTGGGAGGGCCATCGCTCAAGGATGTCGTACTTTCCAGTGATGTCGAGTACAGAGACTTCAGACAATGGCGTGAAGTCCATGCATGGCGCAGTGTTGACGTATTCTGGTGCATCAATGTCTCCTGCCAAGCTGCATATTTGTTCGTTCAGCGGAAAACTAGACAAGGTCAGATAGTCCACTCAAAGATACTCCTGATTTCTAGCCTTACCTTTCCTTTGACAACTTTTGCAGTGCTGTCAGGGTGTGTCGATTTGCCTCAAAATATCCCGCTCGAGCTTCAACCATGATCCATTCTTGCCTAGTGAGACATGATGATTAGTATCGTCATATCTTGCAGAAACACATGGTCATAGTCCAACTCACTGTGGGTCGATCTCGATATCGTCCGGCGAGGCCAAGAAGATATCAATCTCGGGGGGTCTTTTTCGACCCCTTCTTGCAGCCGACAGGCCACGACGGCAACAACACATTTGCTCAAGAATGCATTTTGCTTGGGCGTTAGAGCAACGACTGTTCCAGGATTAAGGCGGTTAGAGTATGTCCAGGCAATGTTTTTGCCCGCGCGGCGAGTCGAGAATTGGATGTGCAATGCGAACCCCGAGCGGGCCAGGGTAACACCGATAATGAAGACCTTTGATGTAGAAGAATCTGAATTAGGAATCTGTAATTCGTAAATCTAAGAAAGCACAATGGGAGAATAGTACTTACCTTCTCATAGATGGAGATGTCTGGGGTATCTCTCATAAAAGGTTCGGCGCGAACCCGGCCCACGGCATTTCGAAGTGGCGCAACCGAGTCTTCTCGGATCAATGCATAATGGGCCTCTAGGTATTTCTCCTTGGAAACCCAAGGTCCTGAAATGCAGTTGGGGGCAAGTGCAACAACGTCTCCCGGTACATCTGTCCCAAGGATTTCTTCGGCCGAGGGAAGCTCCGGCTTGGTTTGCCAAAGTTTCCAAGGGCCGTAGACTGGTAGATCCGGGTCATAGTACTGGCGGATCTCCTGATTGGCAGGTCTGACCTGTTCCTTGGGCTGATGACCATATTGAAAGCGGAAAGGCGGCATGGCTGTCTAAAGAATCCGCAGGGTTAGTCCATATACCTTGAATGGATCGATCAAACTCACCAAGGCACTTCACTGCAATCGATGATCCCACCTCCCAGACAGACTTTACCCTTTGAAAACGGTCGTAGGTGTTCCACGTTTCAAGCAGGAGTCTTTATGAAACGGATGTGTTTATCATGGGAAGTGGAAAGTTGACAGTGAGGGCGTGGAAATACGTAGAAGAAGGAAGGATCGAAGTCGGATCGAGTGCAGAATATGTGTCAGGTGGATGAAGATGAATGAGATAAGACGAAAAGCCAGCACCTGTGTGTCAATATGAGTGAGGTGGGAGCGAGAAGCGACTGAAACCATCTGGAAGGAAGGAGGAGATCAACATTTGAACTAATGTTTGTTATATCCGATTTACTGCTACTACTACAAACGTAGTCTTGCATTTTCATGCATCCATATCTGAAGAGGCTCATCGTCCATGGATCATATAGATATCGCCAAACCTCTTAGGGATTTTCTATAATAAGAATATCATATATCTGTGATTAGGCTCTCTTATATATGCACTAAATTTTAGGCCGAACGAGATGACTTTCCCTTCCTGTTTTATTGTTTAGGTGATATCTAGCTTCTTAGGTGAGTTTAGAAGGGGTTGTCCCTTTGTGATTGCGAGATATATATTTCTGGCTTTGAGCAATGTAATTTTCAATATGATGATAATTTAAAAAGAGGCCACAGTCGCTGTGCGGGATTCATGACTTTCAATTCCTTAGGGTACAATCTTTCTGACAATCAGGGTGTGACATTATTTCTGATGGCTGAGACAGATCCAGCTCAACCGAATCGGAGAGAATTACAACATCAATTCGGCCCATATACACAACTTCATCACCCCCGTACAATGCATAACCTCAAAATGTACATCAATAATCTGATAGACAAAAGGCTCATTCAACCTAACAAGAAATGCCACTTCGGAGAAAGTGGTTCATCGTCATCGAACTAAAAGGATTGACATAACTATAATGCTTGTTATCACCCGAGTGGAAATTCAGCTTATCACCATCATTGTCGACCTGCCTAACCGAGATAGTATTACCAGGATTGTCGGGCTTTAAAGGGCTCAACATCGAGTGGCAGAACTCCCATGTCTTGCCCTTGTACTTCACAGTGTCGCACTTGTTGCTGCATGTCCCATCAGCTTCGAATGAGAATTTGCCGCTGTCGATGTTGTCTTTGGTCAAGTCTTTGTCGTGAATAAAGATTTTGCAACCGGCACCACCACTTGCATCGCCTGTGTTATAGTGGCTCATGGCAGTCATGCCGAATGTGCAGGCCGAGGCGGTGGTAGCCGCGACAGCGATAGTGATGAGGGCAGATAGATGCATATTGGTTTCTAGGAAGCGGTCAACAAGTATTCTGATATGAATGGAGTGAGTGACTGTGTACTGGAGGTTGAGTTGCTCTGAATTGTTTCACGTTGATGTGAATTATGTCAGATCAGTCTACTTTCGTGATCATTTGAATTGGCAAAGCACTTGTCTGAATTCGTGCTCCCCTGCGGATCTGAAGCTTGAACAGACGGATATTCTACAATACGATTGGGACACCTGGGTAGACCCCCGCAAAACCCACAAGACCCACAAAGCCTAAAGCCCAACCCGTCCTAGCCCACTAACGGGCTGGGTTTTGGGCCCGGGGTAAGGGTCCATTAGGCTTTAATTGGAGCCTGACAGGCCCTAAACGATAGAACCATTCCGAAAAACGAGACTTTCTTGATTACGTTTAGACCCCGTTTCTAGCCCTTATCTCGAGGTACGTTTAAAAACGAGAAAACGCGATATTTAGATAATTTATCAATTGTACCTAGGTAGAGGTTTACTCGGTAGTACTCTCGTACAAACTATGCTGTAGGTAGTCGAAGCTCACATATGAGTTGGATGCATACAACGTAGAGGAGGAGGAGGAGGAGGAGGAGAGGGTGTAAAATAGTACTAAGGTCGATCCATTGACACTAGGCCAACAGGCGATGACGATGACAGCTATTAGGATGAGAATGACGATGACGGGGATGGCATACTTTAATTATCCCGGATATAAGCAAGAGTGTCTTGTATAGTAATCTTTAGTGATGGAATGATTGTATCTACTCGGAAGAATAGATTCCATCCCGGAGTTTTACCGTAATTTTCCCGATGAGCATCGGATACTCGCAATATCAATGCTTGGGTCTTATTGGCGTGCCGACTGCCGTCTTCCGGAGATAAACTTCATTGACGTCGGCGGGACAACTCCATGTCGGCATTTGAACATCTTTCTCTCCAGGCCTTGAACTGGCGAAAGATGTGACGAAGCTAACTGTGAGGAGAGCCAAGGAAAAAGGAGTTATTACCTTGTTGGGTAGTGGTTGAGGTATCCCCCACCTTCGTACGCTCGAGCCTTGAGGTTGTCTAACCTCCACACCCATTCTGTAACCTCATTCTGTAACATAAAGAGGAGAGAGCTCGTCTATCATGTAGTGTGAAAGAGTGCAATGACGTAGTACTATAGACCATAGCCGATCGCATGATCGTCAGGGACATTGCCACGTCGGTAGCCTTCCATTTTTGTAACATCAATTTGCAACAGTAAAATGTATTCGAGATCGGTGAGCTGGGGGCCGGGTTTCAAGCCACTCCCGCGCGGGAGAAGGATTTCGTGTTATCCCCCAGGTTCTCCTTTCTTACGCCATCGTGTGGCTCCATAGTACCTGGGCCCTTTGGCGTGCGGGGTCTGGGGCATAATGTCCTATATAAGCAGTGATCTGCTTGAGGTGGACCTTATAGGCTCGGCATAAATTCTGATTGATCGCTAACGGGGGAGGGTGTTGGTACGTGCAGCTATAGTCGAAAAGGTCAGGGTTAGGTGAGCTCACCTTGGATACTTAGTAAGAAGCGTTAACGTGACAATATAATACCTTGACCTTAGGACGTTGATGAAATGATGTGGAAGAAAGAGGAAGAATTAATTTCCGATAAATTGATTACATGGATATGCTTGGCAAACCTACAACGTTGTATATGAGTTGATCATGTTAATTCACAGTGGGTCTAAGGTGACTTCTGGGACAGTGGAAAAAGAGCCACCTTACTCCGTAGAGTCTTGGCTCTCTTGGAACTCTTGGCTCATTCGGAACTCTTGGAAAGCTCTGAATATTGGGATGGCTCGAGCCTCGGGGGATGCTCCTGGGGATGTTTATAAGAACCGGCAAGATGCAAGTCGATGCTGATCACCAGCTTGGTTTTCCCATTGAAAAGAAGCCATGGCGATGTCATTCCCCGGGTTCATCCCTGACTGGACGAACCTAAATATCATCCACAACAATACCCTGCCACCTCGCGCGCACTTTTATTCCTACGGTTCCGAGAACGCAGCCCTCTCGTTCGACCGAGAACAGAGCGAATACCATAGTCTCAACGGTACCTGGAAGTTCCACTATGACCAATCTCCGTTTGAGGCACCCAACTGGGCGACGGCCGACGTCTCCTCATGGGATGAGCTAGAAGTGCCTGGTCACTGGCAGCTCAACGGCTACGGTCACCCTCACTATACCAATATTGAGTACCCGTTCCCCGTCACCCCACCCAACGTCTCCTACGTGAACCCCACTGGGTCCTACTGGCGCGAGTTCACCGTGCCCGAGAACTGGAATGGTGAGCAGATCCGGCTGCGTTATGAAGGCGTGGATAGTGCTTTCCATGTCTGGGTCAATGGCAAGCAGGTTGGATACAGCCAGGGCAGCCGCAATCCCAGCGAATTCGACATCACCGACTATCTTTCCAGTTCCGGGGAGAAGAACTCCCTTGCAACTCGTGTCTATCAGTGGTCTGACGCCTCGTATATCGAGGATCAAGACATGTGGTGGCTATCCGGTATCTTTAGAGACGTTTATCTGATTCCTTTCACCAAGTCGTCCATTGTCGATTTCGACGTCTTCCCCGAAGTTGATGACTCCTTCAAGAGCGGTACATTGACAGCAAACTTTACTATCCAGGGTGAGAAAGGGGATGTGGAAGTCAAGCTTCTGTCGCCAAGTGGGAAGGTCGTCGACGAGGCCACTGTCTCATCATCGGAAAAATATGTCAAGGAACTTAGTGGTGATAAGCTGGAATTGTGGTCTGCTGAGACCCCTAACCTGTACACCCTCCTTTTGACGTTTGGCGGACGAACCATCAGCCAAAAGACTGGTTTCCGTCGCGTTGAAATGAGTGGTTCCAACTTCCATGTCAATGGGAAGCCCATCATCTTGTACGGTGTCAACCGTCATGAGCACAATCATCTCACCGGACGGACAGTTGCCTACGAGGACATGCGACGGGACCTGATCTTCATGAAACAATCCAATATCAACGCAATTCGAACATCCCATTACCCGCACCACCCTTCCTTCTTTGACGTCGCGGACGAGCTTGGCTTTTATGTCATTGCCGAGGCGGATCTTGAATGCCATGGTTTCCAGATCACGGGCGACGGCCTGCAGGTTTCTAGTAACCCAGACTGGGAGGACGCTTATTTAGACAGAGCGATCCAGATGGTAGAGCGCTACAAGAACCATGTTGGTATCATCATCTGGTCGCTTGGAAACGAGTGCGGCTACGGCACGAATCACGCTGCCATGGCCAAATGGATCCGGCAGAGAGACTCCACCCGAATTATTCACTACGAGCAGGACTATGAGGGTGAAACGGTCGATATGTACAGCCGCATGTACAGATCGCTGGACGAGATCCGGGACCAGATTGGCAACAAGACCGACAAGCCGTTCATCTTGTGCGAGTTTGCACAGTAAGTAATATCTCATCCCATCCCACGAGCTCGGAGCATCTCCCTCCCCCTTGTTATTATTCATTCTAACGTGAGTAGTGCGATGGGTAACGGCCCTGGCGGCCTCAAGGATTACATCGAACTCTTCAGAGCCGAGCCCCTTGTCCAGGGAGGCTTCGTATGGGAGTTCAACAACCACGGCATCCTGAAGAAGGAAGACAACGTGTCATACTATGCCTACGGCGGTGACTTCGGTGACACTCCTAACGATGGTGATTTCATCATGGATGGCCTGGTTCTCTCCGACCACACGCCCATGCCCTCAATGGGCGAGTATGCCAAAAACATCCAGCCCGTCACGATGAACTTGACCGTGGATTCGACCCAACTGGTTATCACAAACCACTACGACTTCGTCGACCTATCCGGACTGCGCCCCCAGTGGCATCTTGTTCAGGATGGCAAGAAGACAACAGAGCCGAAGAAACTGGAGCTCCCAAGCATTCCGGCTGGCGAGAGTCGCAAGGTGGACATTCCACTGAAGAAGGGAGACTTGTCGAAAGAAGCATGGATCATTGTCGAGTTCCTGCTTGATGAGGACAAGGTATGGGCCAAGAAGGGCCATGTTGTCGCGTGGGATCAAGCCTACCTTGCTGGACCTTCTGCTTCCCCCTCGCAGCGCCGCTCCAACTCTGTGGCTCGCAAGGTCGATACTAGCATCAAAATCTCTCAACCAAAGCAAACCCGTCTCGAGGTCCAGAGCGGCACCTCGACATTTGGCTTCGATCTCCTACGTGGAAATCTCACATGGAATATCGACGGAACAGAAATCTTCCAGCGTGGACCCGAACTATCTCTCTACCGCGCCCAGACACAGAACGACAAGGCCAGCGCAGGCGATGGACCCAAGTGGGATGCAGCATACGTCAACCTTGTCCACACACAGGTCCGTGATGTAACATGGCAGCAAGCCGACAACGGCGACGTCAAGGTACACTACAAGGTCTGGGTCGCACCCAAGGTCTGGGATTGGGGCGTGCAGGCAGATCTAATCTACACCATCTCGGCCGATGACAAGGCGCCACTCCGCCTTCAAGTCAAGGGCGAGTTCTCTGGCGATAACACACCCACCGTGTTACCGCGCATCGGCCTCATGGCCGTCCTACCACAGACCTTCGATGATGTCTCCTGGTTCGGCCGCGGTCCCGGAGAGAGCTACCCCGACTCCAAGCAGGCGTGTCGTATGGGCGAGTACAAGTCCTCCGTGGATGATTTGTTCACATACTATGATTACCCTCAAGAGAATGGTAACCGTGAGGATCTGCGCTGGGTGCAAATCGGGAACCCAGAGAAGGGCGTGACTCTGGATGCCCGTCGCAGTGATAGTCAAGGCGAGAAGTCGGCCTTCAGTTTCACGGCCCGTCGTTACATGCCTCAAGATTTGGACAGTGCCACGCACCCGCATGACCTGAAGCCGCTCGATATGACCGTTTTGCATTTGGATTATGCTAACAATGGTCTTGGCTCTGCCACTGTCGGACCTACTGCGTTTGAGCCGTACAAGTGCTATGCTGAGCCGTTTGATTTCACTTTTGACTTTAGCATTGTCTAAGAGACAATTTTGTTGTACATAACTAGTGGACTTTGGGGGAGGAGAGGGGTAGCCAGGTATGGGTAAGAGTAAGACCAACCAGTGCTTGTTAATAGAACCTATCTTAGCAATGTCTATACTTCTTATGGGTCTTAAGACATGTGGGCTATTCAAGCCCTGATTTTGCAACATGACATTCTAGTGCCACTTTTTTCACAAAGTTACTTCTTCATTCTTTTGTTTCGTACTAGTGTATGGGACGGATACAAACAAGCAGCAAGGCAGATGTATGCTGAATGCCGTCGCTGATTAATTGACTTGACCAAGCCATAACTATACGATCCAATCTCATCCCCACGCTAACCCGTCATACTAGGAACAAAATGGGGAAATACCAGTAGTCAACAACGAACGAAGAATCCGAGGCAGAATCACGACGGCCGCAAAATTAAAAGGAGGTAGATATAAGGCATACATCCCTCCCTTCCTGCCATGTTGTACGACTCGAGGAGGGGGAAGAATGGGTGTAATTGGTATGATAATACAGTCAAAATGAATATATCCTTCATCAAGCGCAGCTTAAATACTGAGGCTTTTCATTTGTTGATCTCGCAAATCGTCAAGTGAAAGTTGCCAATCAAAATCATAATCTCCTTTGTAGTGTAAGTATTTACTCTTTCCGGTGCCTGGGTCACTCACCAATGCTATGCTCCTTGCAAGCACTTCGTAGAAATTCCACTGACATGCAGAATTCGATGCACTCATCCGGCACCCATTGATAAGCAACCCAGTAGTTTGGATTTACCCAACTGAGACCTTTTGGCTGAGAGGGAGCCCAGGCCTTCATGTCTAATTTTTCAGTTAAAGTCGTTGTACGACTAAACAGGACTCTCATAGCGAAAAGCTTTGAGACATTAATCACCGCTATCATGTCTCCTTCCAGGTCCTTGAACTTCCAGGAGTTGATCAAACGAAAAATTCTCGCAGGGCTATCAGACATTGCTATGAGCTCCGAAGGTCGATTATTTTCGCATTGGTTTTTCAAAACGTCCTTATCGACCAAGCTCTCGTCTAGAGAGCCGTGGTGGGAAGGCAACGTGGAAGGTTGATTTGAAGAACGAAAACCAAGGCCTTTGTCATCTCGACTGTGGCTGCGTGACCGGAATTCCCGGTAAAAGATACTTAGAGTGTTCGGCTCGGGTCTAACTGAAGGCTCGCAACACCGTCTTAAGAGGACTTTATTAAGAGTGTTCAGTGTTTGAATATCCGTATGTAAAGTCAAAAGCACATCGGTAAGTCTGGTACTCATGATCCTATTCTTTTCCGGCAAAGAGTGCTCTCCATTCGCTTCCTCAGATGTATAATGAAGGCTCTGGCATGGAATGGGTAACGGTCCGCCGGTGACCAGTGAGGCGACGAACCCGAGACTATCGGCAAGGAATATTTTATCACCAAGCGCTTCGACAAGCCTTTGACATGAATCGTTGTGTTCCTCTTGCAGTTGAATATCGCGTTCGATGACCCGGTTTTCTCTTATTTTTTCCTCTGTGGGAGGTTCGTCGGCGAACCCGATACAACAATGTCTAGATATATGAACTTGACAAACGCCATATCTTTCAGGAATATAATGCGCCGCCATTTCTCTGTAGCAAGGAATTGTAAATTAGCGGTGGCATCAGTAGCCAGCGAATTCAAGTTGAGGGGGCTGGAGCGGCGATATATTAACCCTGCTTCGAGTAGACGAGTAGCGTCATCGCCATGGGATTTACAGTTTGCGCCATCAATCCAGCCTATTATGTATGGCATTTTGGAAAGACGATAATCATCGAGTCCGATATCTCCACCGTGTCCCTTTTCCTGTACCGAGATCCGTAGTTGAAGTTCTAGGAACAACACAAGATAGGCCGCTGACGTGGGCGTATCAAACACGACCTGTGTAGCGATGCGGATGGTGGAAGTCGGCACGTCAATAGATGAGGCATGCAATCTGTTGTATCTCCAGGCTTCAGCCAATGATGGGAAAGCGGTTTTCTTAGTCCGAAGGGTTATCCCATGTTTCCTTTTCCTCCCGGGACGCTGACAGCCAAGGACTAAATCAAGGACTAGCACCAAGCAAGCACACACCTCGCCCGACGTCAGTAATGTATAGATAAATGAGAATTAAAGTAGAGGTTCTGCAAGCTCATCCTTACGCTTTATATCTCCTAAACGGGATGGTTGTATTCAATTCTAATTACGTGGTCGCTTATGAGGTTGAGGATGAATGTCCTGAGTATCTTCGCGATCTTCATCTTCCTCATGTTCATCAACTTCATGCTCATCATCGTCAATCTCTTCAACCTCTTCTTCTTCTGCATCCTCAACCTGTGGCTCGAAAAAAGGAGTACCAAATTTTCTCTTTCGTCTTCCAACCACAGATAGCCCCTTTCCACATTGCATTACTGCATATTCCAACAATATCATTCCACATTCTTCCAGTGCCCCCCGGAGAAACCGTCTCTCCTTGTCGTTGAATGAATAGTCGTGGAACTCAGATGGGATTTGATGGTCTTCATTATCCCACAAGACCATTGTTTCGTCTAAGTCCTCACCTAGATCAGGGACTGTATAAATGAAATCGTCCATCGTGAGCGGATCTGTTACGCTGAACCAGTGTGTCCGTGAATCTTCGACGGTTTTGGTATACGGCCCTCCGAGCCATTTACCGCCTCGAGCGCTTTTCACCATGAAGAAAATAATATCACGAATCGGGGGTTGTTGAATCAGCATACGTTTCCAGCTGGGCTTTATATCATCGGGGCCAATTTCAATGCCATGATCCTTGCGCCTTTTTGCGGGTGTGGGAAAGTCGGGAAACCAGTCGGGGAAGATTTCGGCAAGCAAAGGATTGCGTTGTTTATCCTCTCGATCCCAGTCGGGTTGGAAAAAGAGATGTTTCTGAAGGGAAGGCGACGTGGAAATCAAATCTTGCCATTGGTGGCACACACGTTGAGCGGATGTCAAGATGCACTTGAGATCAAGGTGGAGAAGTATGTTCTCCAGAACTTCCATGGTCCCAAGAGCTGTATCTTGGGCGGTCATTTTGCTTTCGAATTATGTAGAAGCCGATTCAGAATCAGACATCGAGGCAAAGAAGGTTTCAAAGGGGAATGGATCATTTTAGGGCAATTTATAGTCCACTGAGGCTTATTGGTGCGCGGTCTGGCCTGGCCCAATCACACCTTGGGGCGCCATAGGAGAACTAGTAGTACTACCTAGTTGCCATGGTAGGCGGGGCATCTTATTAGCCTACCTCATGTTTACAACGCATGAAGTACAGTGTAAGCGACAGCATATCAAAGCGATACACCTTAGCTAGGATTGCGGGAATACTAGCCAATATCTAGATAATATCTTGGGTTATATATATGCCTTTTGGCCATTCGAAATTGGCTCCTAAATATTTACTTATTGTGAATTTAGTTGCAACTATATCTTCCTTGTCTAAGCAACTAGGCACCTGATTCACGTCGAACGGCGTGCGAAGACCTAGGGAAGTGGATAACCTTTCCCCATAGTGGTTTTCCTCACTGCCTTGGTGAAAATTCCATCCGATCTATTATTCTAACGAATCGTACTCACGTCCATATCCATAAACATCACGGGCCGCTCCCCATAAAGGAGCGGATATAGTTAGGATTCAAGTACTGAGAATGGAGGTGGATATGCGCACGTGATACTATGATGACTAAGGATTTGGTAAAAGAGAGCCCTGAAGCTTAAACGGGCATTCAAGCGATTTTCGGTAGCTGATTTGCCGTTAATTGGGTGTTTAGGGTCAGGGGATATACTGGAATGTATACAATTGATGTGATATTAAATTGTATACACATTGCAGTGGTATACAGCTTGAGAGCCTTTGACGCTCATTGGTCTGCCAAGCATCGGATCCATATCGGTCCATTTTAAGCCGCGGCGTAACGCGCGACCCTCTCCTCTGTCTTGTACTCCGGAGCTGGAGCATAATTCCGATCTCACCGTCATTTGCCTTATTTCCGTTTGCGCCGGAGCTCTTTGTTCGAAATCTCCCACTCCTCTCGTTCAATTACTGCGCGCAAACGATAGGTACCCCACAACTCGGACTGCCACAAGACCGCTCAGTAATCATGGGTTCACCGGAGGAAGAAGAGGACCGTGACATGGGAGGTATGACAATTCTTTGTTCCAACGGCCTGTGCCAATGCCCCGCGGCTCATCGGTATCAACCTTGCTGATCACCCTCGCGACTCCCTAGGCTCCCAGGACGGAAGCTCTGATAACGAGAACGACAACGATATGGATGACACAATGCGCGACGTCGACGATGGCGAGGGTGACAATGAGAATGATCAAGACGGGGATGGGGACCAAGATCCCGATAGCCCCTCGAATGCGAGCCAGGCGTCGGAGGGCCCTGGCATGCAACAAAGCACGAATGGCAATGGCGACAATTCCGAATTTGAACTCTTTTCCATTTACCACCCAAGTGTGCGCCCTGAATGCCTCACAGCCCGAACATACGATGTGGTCCCAACTACCGCTGCGCCGCATGCCACATCGATCAATGCAATTACAGCGACAGCGGATATGCGTTGGGTTTTCACCGGTGGATCGGACGGATTCGTGCGAAAGTTCAACTGGGCGGACTCGATAAATAGCAAGCTCATGTTGACCGTGGCGCAAAGGCATCCATTCGTGGATAGTGTTGTCAAAGCTGGAGTCCTGATGACATATTGGGAGAACATGGATGGTAGCCATTTGTCACCGGTGTACTCTTTGGCCAGCCATAGCGAAGGATTGTGGCTACTTTCTGGGTTAGAATCTGGAATCATTCGTCTGCAAACTTTGCGCCACGAGGAGGGCAAAGAAATCGCGCTTCTTCGACAACATACCTCGGCAGTATCAACACTGAACCTCACATCAGACGAAGAATCATTGCTTTCCGGGGGCTGGGATAAACGGGTCTTCGACTGGGATCTGAATACCGGCCAATCTAGACGAGCTTTTGGTGGCAGCGGCGGACAAATATCTGCCCTGCAGATTCGGCCAGAGTCCAGCCTTTCGGTCCCCAAGGACACAATCGAACCGCAGCAGACCAATGGCACATATGCATCAAACTATGCTGCACCAAGTACAGACAGTTTCAACTTCATGGATACCTCCCACGATCATGGAGACACGGGCCCGGTCGAGAACCCGCAGGCGGGCTCCCCGGCCGACTCACTTTTTGGCGGAACGGACTCATTATTTGGCGACGCAGATGGCGGAGCTGCGGATGGTAATGAACCATCCGGTGGAGTATTTGCGGTAGACGAAGACGATGAGTTTGGCCGCGCTGTAGCTAATGGTGCTATGCCGGATGTCGACGCACCAGGCGAAGTTGACGATGAAATGCCTGCCCAACCAGATGAACGTGCACAGAGCACGCACGATGTATTCTCGCCGAAAACAAATAGCCATGCAGATGCGCCGGTCCAGAAAATGGAAATGGACGATGCGGACATCCCGACTGGCTCTGTGCAGCCGGTTGTCAATGGACTCCCTAAAGCAGAGGATCTCGAGACACCTCCATCAGCCCCAGACTTCTCAGAAAATACGCAACAACAGCAAGGTGTGACGACTGATAACACATTCCTGGCTGCCTCGATCGATGGAACGATCAGAATCTGGGACCGGCGACAGCCTGATCCTGTCGCTCGCATCACCCCATATAACTCTCCTCCATGGTGTATGAATGCTTGTTGGTCCCCTGATGGAAATTATATCTATGCCGGACGCCGAAATGGCACTGTCGAGGAATACAGTCTCCACAAGGGCTTGAGAAATGCCGAACGAACATTCAAATTTCCACAGGGGAGTGGGCCGGTGACAGCACTTAAGGCCATGCCGAATGGGCGTCATCTCGTCTGGTGAGTAAAGAACCATGAGGCAGCACAGAACTATTTTTCTAACCTTCATCTTCTGCAGTGCCTCTCATGATATCCTCCGTCTCTATGATCTGCAAAATGAGCAAGGCGACCAGTCTTCTCGCCATTCGCCAGTTCCATTCCTGATCATTCCCGGTCATCGGACTGGAACTATCTCACAGCTGTATGTCGACAATGCGTGCCGTTACATGATCTCCACCAGCGGTAATCGGGGTTGGGAAGGAAATACCACTGAAGTCCTCCTGGGTTACGAGATCGGTGTGCCGCAATAGGGAAAGCTATGAACGATGGACATGCAAAAGCATAATGAACCATAGTGTCACATAATTCACGAATATCATGACTTGAGATCTAAAGCTACGAGGATTTCAAACATTAAGCTGAAACGGATAGTAAAAATTTGTAGCCAAAAGCCCGAACCCTGAAATTGAAATGATTGCCATGTAAATTTACTCTACATGGATGCAGGTCACAAACACAAACACCAACGCCAGTTCCCCTCCATATTTACAACATGCACAAGACCATGTCACATAACCAAAAAGATCATTGCTCATCATGAATGATTTCGTCAAAGTCCAACCCCTCACAAACTTCGGTTTGCTGAGATCGCCAAGTTCCAAAGTAGGGATTGTTATCCCATTTCACATGTCCATCACGATCGTTATCAAAATAGACATAGCCAGGCTGCTCGACATGTGAGAGTTTCGCCGCTCTAGCAGCTCCCTGGGGCCCAACCACAAGACCACCAAAACCGGGTAATGCAACATTGGGAACATGAGTCCTTGCCTCAACATTCCCATTCTCGATGTTATTGACAGTAATTAGATAGACAGGCGGGAGATCCGGTTCACGGTTTGCACGAAGTGGCATAGGAATCCACGCTTCATTGTTATACGACTCGGGGCGATTTTTGTCGTGGCGGAGGGGTAGAGGCCGATCCAAGAGCATATCATCCAGTTTGCCAGTGTCTAATAGTAGACCGGGTGTTTGAACATATAAAACACTGTCGTACTGCATGAATTGGATCTGGCCCAGGTGGAGGAGCTTGCTGTTTGTTGTTGAGTAGCCTGCAGCAGTGGCTGCTGACATGTCGATTGGAAGGAGCCAAATATTATATTTGGCACTGGCAGCGCGTAGTATTGATAACGCTTTGGTGGCAGATGGACCCAATTTCTTAGCTGACATTCGGTCCCATTGCTCTGGGTACATGAAGAGGCGGTCCTGGACGGCTGTCCCATTTGTGGAGAGTTGTTTGAAGAAGAGGATTGCGGAGCAGATGTCTGATGGATCTGGTTCAGATAGCATTTGCAGATAGGCGTAATTCCCTGATGCATCGTAGTTGGGTTGGATCCCAATTGGTGTATCTTGATCATCCCCATAACCCGTGTCTGATAGACCTCGTTTTAGTGGCTTCTGGAATGCGGGGCCCGATCTGTGTCTGGCCATTTGGGCGGCTTCTTGTGGTTTCAAAGCATGCTGAATGTTTTTGACAGATTGCTGCTGCAGGACATATCCAGAGAAAAATAGCAATATGGTAAATATGCAGATCACTCCCATCGACACAATGGCCGAAACCGTGGAGGACGTTAAAAGAACCATGGCCACAAGGGAGGCTGCATGGGTTGAATAGTGAGAATATAATAGACGAAATTAAAATTTCAGACATGCATGACCCCCTGGATGTTCAAGATATAATGACCTTGGACTATTAATCTCCAAACAGGTCTCATTGTTAGGCTTGTTTCATGACATCAGGTTGTTTACGTTGTCCGGCGCGACTATCGATAAGCTCGGTCTTGGCGGTGTCACTTCCAGGTTGTTGGTCAAGCCGGGTATTTTTAGCTGAAGATTGGTCATTGTCCACTAGATGGTTACATGTACAGCATATTGATTCCTGCTGGCAATTAAAGGTAAACCCAATGATAGAGCAATGTATGATGAGAAAATAGGCCTTGTAGACTGTTTTGTACAAATATGGCGGGATAAAGGCGGTGAGAAAGGCGGTAACCCTCAAATCCGTATCATCGCGATGGTCTCAAAAAACTGCCGTAGCCCTTTTTCACTTCTCTTCGATGCCTTGGCACCTCCGCATCCGCCCTCACCTCCAAAATGGCAGCTCATCGTGCCGATGCCAGCACGTTCCTCGATAACCGTGGCTACAAGGGCCCCCTGGTTCGAGGCGTCAACCCAGCCACGCTTTTCGAGAAAGCTGTGCGCGATCGCATCACTGATTCATACTACTGGAAGGAACAGTGCTTCGGTCTGAACGCAGCGACTTTGTGTGATCGCGCAGTCGAATTGACCTGCATTGGTGGAACATATGGTGTCTCTGAGAAACCCACCCCCTTCCTTTGCCTTGCATTCAAGCTCCTCCAGCTCGGCCCTGACCGAGACGTCATCCTCGAACTACTCAACTTCACCGACCCCGGCAGTGGCGACGAGGCAGAAAACCCAGACGATGCTCTTGTCAAAGATCGAGGCGACTTCAAATACCTGCGCGCCCTTGCGGCTTTTTACGTGCGACTGACCTTCGAACCGGTCGATGTCTACAAAACCCTGGAACCACTACTTCTCGATTACCGGAAACTGAAGCGACGGGTGCGCGACTCCTTCACGCTTACATATATGGATCAATTCGTCGATGATCTTCTCACAAAAGACCGTGTCTGTGGTACCAGTCTCTGGAAGCTGCCGCCGCGATCACAACTGGAGGACTTGGATTTGCTAGATGAGCGAATCAGTCCTGTTGAGCTAGAAGACTGATCAGTCCAGTATGATTGTCAGCATACAAAAACACAACTCCGGAGAAGGGGTAGAGGTTACCATAAAAGACAAGACTAACACGTCAGGTTATAGTGAGTTTTGTCTAAGTGGCTGCTGTGCACTGTCCACGGGTACTTCCCCCATAATCAAACAGTCATGTGCCGCCAAGCCTCTGGACTTTTTTACCCTTTTGGGTAACACCAGGGCTTCCCCATCGGTATACATGTTCCCAGCTCTTATCTCTTCTTATTTGCTTGAATCAATTCATTCGAGACATTTCTTCTTGGTATCTATCGAGATTGAACAGCGTAGGGAGTGAGTGCAGCTAAACCATCACCGAACAATGGCAAATCACACGTCTCTAGTTTGTACTGATAGGCGTCGTAAATTCGACAAACCTGCCTATGTACTGATCTACATGTACCTTGTATCTCCTTACCTTATTGGTATGGGTGCAGAGGTAGAACATATGATAACGACATCTGGAAAGAGTAACATGATAAGCATACACCGGCTTTCAATAAACCGCCTGTGACGTCGACACAGCAGAAACAGCATAGACCACCGGCATTTCCTCTCCCAACATGGCAAATGCAATCGAGCGAGACGACCAAAGCAGCTATTTGACGCGTCCATCTTGTCACTCTGAATGGATGCGAATTTCACCCCCGCTCGGCACTTCCCTCAACCAAGTGCAATAAGATCTGAACATGTTTTGCCCGGAGAGTACTTATTCACTTTGGCCCCCGTCCGTCCATGTCTCGGTACATACTTCTGTGAAGCCTACCCCCTGCAACTGCCCTTATATAAGCCCCATATACTGAGCACTATCTACCTCCGCCTTGCCCTAACTCGTATGGATTGAGCCGCTATGGACTTCTTGTCAATCCCGGAGAATCTCTGGCCAGTTGGATTTATCCTACTAGCTGCAACTGGAATATATGCTATCATTAATCGGGCATTTGGCATATATATCTTGGCTACAGTTACGCTGCGTGGTCGAAAACATTCAACTGCCAGAACTCCACCGCGGTCTTTCTCTCCGGAGAAGAAAGCTGCAACAAGCCCAACTTCCCCATCTAGCTATGACAATGTGATCCCACCCCAACGCAGACACACACTCGCAGATCTTAATTGCCATGCGGCACCCGGACGCGACGTGCACGAAGATGAAGTGCGTCGGAGTATTCTACCCATGAGCGCCAACTATACGACCAGCCCGGGCTACAAGTATACACCAATGGGATTCTCAGTGGCAGAAGTCAAAGGGCTTGGAGACTTCCCAGACTATGCGACTCTCAGTGGAGTTCCACTTCCCAGCCCATATCCCGAATTCAATATCGAGAAGGCACTGCCTCGGCCATACCGTCCATTCCGGTGGGCGTATCACCAGACCATGTGTATGTGTCATAGAAAGCGAAACAAATATGATTGAAACTAATCTCCTCTGTTCAAAAATAGCCTTAAGCAAACTCGAAACAGACTGGTGGATCGAACTCGAAAGTACATACAAGAGCCGCATCGCCCAACGCAAAGCGCTCTACGCCAAGAATGGTAAGGAAGTCCTCGATGCCATGCCAGGCTCCGAGCTTGCATGCAAGGAGTTAATGGAGATGGTCTTGCAATTTATCTGCGCCCGATACCCGCAGTACTTCACACTGGTTGACAAGCGCGTACTGCAAAACAAGATCCTCGGTACCGAGCAGGACGTCACAGCCAAGCCGCCTCTCGAAGTTCTTCTAGACAACGTCCCAGAAGACTTTGCAATCATGCTTCGCGACGACACGACGGGATTTTATTTCCTGCGTGCGGCGGTGATCTGCTCAGCGCTGGGGTGGAATGTCGCGTCGAAGGTTGGGAAGCAGCTGCATGAGATCCACGAGCCGATTCCAGATTATAAGGAGAAAATGCAGTTTTCCATGGATCGGTATGTTGGTTGCTATCCTATGGGAGATTGTTATTGAAGTGCTAACGGGAGAATTCTGTTTAGGTTTTTCACCAAGATGCCTACCGAGAAACCAATACAGCGAGGATCATGGGGCCTGGAAATTGGACAGCCATTGTACATGCCACCCGGAGACCCTCACGAACTGCACCGGCTGTCTCAGCGGGCTGATCTAATTCTCGACGAGTGTCACCTGCGGGTGGACTGGCAGACTCTCAGGCGTCTCCCCTTGTCTGGTGCAGTCATTTTCAATTTCAAGGGCCTTTTTACTCCAGTCACGGAGTTCCGTGATGAGCCTGGCGTACCGGAGTTGGTGATGAAGGTTGTGACAGAGGGAAAGAAGAATCTCATGGATTATAAGAGTGTATGGCATGTGCAGCATGTTGTACTTCCGAAGTTGAAGGAATGGGCAGAGGAGCAGAAGAAGAATGGGTTAGTTCCGAAAGATTGGGAAGTATCTACTTTGGATGATAGTCCATGGTTCAAGGGTTGGCAAGAGAAGTGGCATCGGCAGCAGGGATTCTAGAGTGTTGATATTTGACTGTTCAATCGTACTATTTCTTTCATTGGATATTTTCATGATTCCCAAGGTGGTAAATACTGTTTATCAATTCTCCTTTATTGAGTTTTCCAGGTAATTCAAGCTCAAGGTTTTTCATTGAAGCTGCATTAGAATCCTGGTGTTTTATGTAAAACTCCCTTGTGTGGTGGTGTGGTGAGAAGTATCTTGAACATAAAACAAAGATTTCCTGTGTAAGAAAAGGAAGATCTCTTTGTTCGATTCTGATCTTATATAGACAGTGAAAATTCTTTTGATGCTCTATTTCACTGAAAGTTTTACTAATATTGAAGCAACAGCAATCTGACCATCTCGTTCAAGACAAGGCTGTTGAATTTCCGACAATTAATCAAATGCTCTGTCAGTTCGGGCATAATTGAAGTCTCTCCCACGGTCTCTATTTAATTAATTATTATCATTGAGATATTCAATATTATGAACCAACATTTCTACATAGAGGGTTCAATGTTTGCTTTATGTGGAAGTTTGAAATCGATAGACCTCCTCTTTCTCTCTCCTCTTACTCTTGCAGAAGTCCTTCAACGTTGAGTTTTCCTGAATGCTTCTTTATCGGTTGCTTTTATATTCAAAGAGCTCTCTATCATCTATACTCTCTCCCGCCATCTCTTATTTATTGCACTGCTATTGATCTTCATGGTAAGCCGCTCGCTAGAGACATCACACTTTTTGCCCTACTCGTGTGTCTGACTCTCTATCTAGAAGGTAAATTTGTTCACCAGCGAAGTAAGACCTGACAGTGAAGATGGGAAGCCCACCGGAGAATTTGTTTCCTTTTACGCCGGTTGCCCTGTCAGCTGGTCATCTGGCAAGGAAGATATCATCGCTGGAAGCAGTTCGACGGCAGAATACATTGCATTTGATGCTGCAATATGAGAGTGTATGTGGCTGTTCAAGATACTCGAACAATTAGGAGATTACCAGAGACTCCCTATCGATTTTGATCCAAGTGCTGGAAATTTCGCTGATGCTGTTACACGGAAATTCTCATGAGTTGTTCCCCTTGAGATATCGCTTCAGCATCCGGAATGTACAATCTCTTCCTTTTGTTGAGATGCAAGATCTTGTTATGTATGCGCGATACATTACAGCCCCTATATTTCCAATATCACATTGTCAACTAGCCTAAATACTCAAGTTATGCAGGCTTACTAAGACTCCTACTTGTAGCAGGACTTTCATTTCAAATGAAGCCCATTCAGTAGATACGAGACTTGCAAATCGTAATTATACATACTATATTCACATTTCTTAATAGTCATCTCATTACTATTGTACAGAATTTGCCACCATCATGGATTGTCGTGGCCAATGAAGCCATTCTTCCCACTGGGGCCCAAGATACTGACTGATTGAATCAACTAGGTACTTGCCACCATCGCAGAATATCCACGACTGTTTGTGGGTATCAACTAGGGCACCAAAATGCGCCAAGATAACCAAAGCCTCGCGCTTCCTCTGCGAAACCAGATCAATGTAGTCGCGAGATACAAGGACCGGCCATGCAATGAGAACATCTAAGCTGGTTTCCCCTGGAATTTGACTGTCCATCACAGTGATGACGGATTGCAAAGACTGGATAGCCTGTTGGTATGTCCTTGTGGTAGTGTCGTCGTGACCAAGACCTTTGATACGATCCAAAAGCACCTGGCAAACCGGACCCAGGCCTGCATCCGCCGAAGGTATCCTTTCACCAAGCTCCAAAAGTGGTTTTAATGCTGATTGTTGCAAAAGTTGCCACCTCCCCCGCCTGCGACGGTGCGTACCCCATGATGCAGTATAGTGTACTGAACGAACTGATCAAGAAAGCTCTCAAAGTCATTGTCTCGATATACCAGGGTCTCGCAGAGCATGTGCAGTCCCAGAATACCAGCGAATAAAAAGATTGAGACGTAATTTTCATCATTGATTTGTGATGATGAGCTGTTGAAGGAGCTCAGTGCATAACTCTGCAGCTGAGTAGAATGGTGTCGGTAGAAAGTCCGCTGTTCCGGTCTAGTGATGCTAAGATGCAAAGCACTCAGAGATAAAAGTTCGTTCATGAGATAGGGCGCACTAAGCCCATGTCGCAAGATGTCCTGGAATGAGATACTAGAGAAACTTTTCTGACGATTGAATGCATCCATGGCGTGCGAAGAAAGATTGTGAGCAAGCTCAACGTGGAGCATGTTAACGGGGGCATCTTCGGGATTATTGCTGATTTCCTGGGCGGGCGAAGATGTCACGGCCGGTGAGCCAACGGCGGATGGAGTGGCAGTGTCGCTACCGATGCTACTAGATGCCTTCCCAGCGGGCACAGGCTCCAGAAACTCACAGTGTCGCTGTGAACTGATACAGTTGGAACATATGGGTCGTTTCTCGTCACACTGAGCAGGGTCAGCGGCTGCACATAGGTGGTCATTGAGTGACAAACCTTCATGTGGCGGCGCTTGCATTCAATGCAGCCATTTCGAGACTTTCTATGTGTTCTGCGGACCATTTTTGCCACGCCGTGACATAGAAAAGGATGCTGCTAGGGCCGGAAGTCTCGGTTCCGATAAGCTAGTAGTATACTGGAGACCCTCGCGGCCAGTGGAGATAAATGTTGCAGCCTAGACGGTTTGTAGCAAGCCTAAACTCTAGGCCCACATATACTATCTCGCGAAGCCACTTGGCATGTCTTGAATGATTCCTCAGGTCGAGTAGTGAAGTCCGGAAAATGTGAGGAATACGCGTATGCACAGACCATGTCTCCACTTTGATTAAGGTTAAAGGTCTTGGCGCTCGGCGGCTCCGCCGCTTTTGATATGTGCACCATACAATGTCCATCGGCCCTGCCTTGTTCAAGGATTTAATTATATAATATTAAACCCCTTTTGCGTAAAAGTATACGCTTAGCTCAGATACTGTACCAGCTTTCGTGATATCTGTTATATTTAAATTTCCCCATGACACCGCATCACTTTCTTTTTACCACTCTCAACCCCGTGAGCAACATTCTATAAAAAACTGAAACCTCTTCATTTCTCATTTTTGTCAAAATCCCATTTCTATACACAATATGGCCGAGCTTAAGCCTTACAGGGGGGCTACTATCTCTGGAAATATGTCCCCTCGCTCCCAGCAGCAATCATCTTCTTGATTCTTTTCGTTGCTGCCACAACATTCCACTTTTGGAAGCTCCACCGAACAAAAGCTTGGTTTTGCCTCGCATTTTCTCTCGGGGGACTTTGTGAGTGAACTAGAGTACCATCCTTTTCGAACATCGCTAACTAGTTTTGCGTCAAGTCGAAGTAATTGGTTACATCGGTCGAGCCGCTGCGCACAATAGGACGGATTCAGTGATAGTTTACGCGATTCAAAATGTCTTCCTCCTCCTTGGTCCTACCCTTTTCGCAGCCTCTATATACATGACCCTCGGGCGAATCATACGCAGCGTGCACGCTGAGGAACACTCGCTTGTTCGGATCAACTGGCTCACCAAGATATTTGTGATGGGCGACGTGGTATCATTCCTTGTGCAAGGCAGTGCATCAGGCCTGATGGCCACGGGGAATAATGCGAAGTTGGGCTCAAACATTGTGGTCGCTGGTCTCGTCATCCAGGTCATTATGTTTGGTCTGTTCATTGTCACATCAATTGTTTTCGAGGTTCGCATGCGTCGCTCGCCCCCGACGGCAACCTTTGATGAGCAGATTAACTGGATGAGTCGAGTCCGCACGCTCTATGCTGTCAGTGCGCTTATCTTGATTCGGAGCATTTTCCGGGTTGTGGAGTATGCAGCTGGGAACGATGGATATCCACTTACTCATGAGTGGATGCTCTATGTGTTTGACTCGGTGTTGATGATAATATCTATGGTCATCTGGGGTATTTGGTATCCCGGAATGCTGTCGAGACCCATAGTCCCGGACCAGGAGGTAGTCACAGAAGTAGCAGCCGGCCTAGAGTTGAAGGGTTGAAGGATCGCTGAGTTTTATAGGCATGGGTCTACTTCAATCGAGAACATATGCTCATTGCTATCCTACTAGCTTTCAGGACGCAGATCATCGTTAATGGGGGAGGTAGCTTGGTATTTAAGAGAAAGAGTGTCGAGGCTAGAGGTGTAGCTACGTATCGCTTCTCTGAATGATAAACATCTCAGTTATGACACCATATGATAGACTATATTTTAAATCCTAATAATAACAGTCTCGCGAATGCAATCAAAAGGTTGACTACATGTAGTCTCATCCTATTACTCTGAACATAGACGCAAGTCTGAGATAAAAAAGCATATGTAGTGTGCATACAAACTTTGGAAAACGCGAGAGAAAAGGAAGTGCAACATTATACCTATTAATAACAGCGGGTGGCCTAGTGGTAACATCAATGTGTACCACGAGGGAATCTTCCACTACCTGACTGTTCCGGTCTGATCCGTCGAAGCCGCGTTTATACCCTCTTTTTTTTTCCTCTTTATGCCTTTTTATTATCACTATCGCCTTTCACCTTTATTTTTCATCTTCATAAACTCCAATTTATATTTCATTGGGCAAATATACTTCGGACCGGAAAAAGAATGCCCCAGACCTATAATGCACGTGATCTGGATATATGCTTACTGGACATCACCTGATCGGCCATCCCCTGCAATTACCAGTTATTGTACTTGTGTCTCTGTATTCTCAGATACAAATGACCTGCACAAGTAACCACGGGGGCTCCAGTGTGCAAATATGACGCCTGTAAAAAATCCGAAGCAATCTCACTACATCCCTCTGTACATCTTGTGCATAGGGATAGTCACTATATATATTCCTGGACCCAGCACTATTGCCAGTTTGACTTTTTACTACGCACACATTGTTCCTTTGTTTGTGTGTTGCAGGGCAGAAATCAGCTATGAGCATCGAATTATCTCCAGATGCTATCGATGTGTTTGGTCAGGACTCAGGGAACCCAATTTAAGAAGGCATTGGGGAAGGCACATGAGATAGCAGAGAAGTTGTCCTAGTTTAGGAGCTGGTATCTTGATGAATGTTACAGATGGCTCGAATATCATGCTCACTAAAATCGTCTTTAGGTCCAATGGTCATTGTGTTATATCAGAGTACTAAGGAGGAAAATACTTCCCACCGCTATGCTCGAGACCGGTTTATGAGGCGGACGAACCTGTGAAATAGAATAGTCAGGATTCACAGATCCAGATGCTTATATTAGATATATGCTACTTTGGCAGCCACTTGAAGCCTATCTCCCCACCTCTCATGCACATCATGACACTGCCACTCAAGCCGTGTGAGACTCAAGCTCGACGTGGTCAGTATCAATGTGCTTCTCATTCTTGAGATCCTCCAACACCTCAACGCCGGCAAGACCAAGGCTCTCATTGATCCGCATCATGCGCAGGCGATCAGCTTCAGCAATGCTGTTCGAATCACCACCGAAGAAAACATCCAACTCCTCAAGTGTCTTGTCCTTGGTCTCAGGGGCAAACTTCCAAATGAATAGACCACCCAAAGCACTGAAGACGGCAAAGAAGATGTAGGTGCCATACTTCATTGTATCCAGCATATCCTTGGTGGTAAGACCGATAATGAAGTTGAACATCCAGTTGGTGGAAGCGACGATGGAGACACCGCGGGAGCGCTGACTGTTGGGGAAAATTTCCTGAGCCAATACCCAAGCGACGGGTCCTATTCAAGAAAGTGTTAGCGTGATGGGACATATGAGCTGCTAATGTGGTGAACATACCCCAGGAGTAAGCAAAGTTCACAGCGAAGAGCCAGATGAAAGCAATGGCAACCCAGCCTTGCGGGGTGGCAAGTCCTTCGTGCAAGTCCCACTTAGGCTCATATATACCCTCCACAATGGCGACAACAATATGACAAATGAACATGCCGGCAGCACCGACAATGAGGAAAGTCTTGCGGCCAAACTTGTCGAGATAAAGGACGGTGGGTAGGGTGAAGATAATCTGCAGGATACCAGTCACACCAGTAGCGAGAAGGGTGGTCTTTGTGGACGAGAAACCGAACTAGGAAAAAGAAAAAGAGTTAGCAACCATTCATCGGAGCTATATCAAAAGGGAGTTTGAGAAAGAACGAGTCACTCACCGAAGAGAAAATCTGGGGCGCATAGTAGAGCACGGCGTTGATACCAGTGAACTGCTGGAAGATCATCATACCGCAACCGAGCGTCAGGCGCTTAAACATGTTGGGAGCAAACAGAGCTTTCCAAGGAGCCAAGATACCTCCAGCTCCAACAACCTCACTCTCGGTCTCCTCGTCGAACATGACAGCAGCCTTGATCTCAAGGTACTCGGCGCGAACAAGTGGATCATTTACAGGCAGGCGACGCAGTCTAGAGATACACTCCTTGGCCTCTTCATCGCGGTGCTTCATCATCAACCAACGCGGCGAGAAGGGGAAGAAGAAGAGACCGAAGAACAGAATCCAAGCGGGGATAATCTGCAAAGCCAAAGGAAGTCTCCACGAGATGGTCTTCTGGCCCATGCAGGTGTGGCCATTGTTCTGAGCAGCATTGTACGCCCCGTTCAGGTAAGGGTCCGCGATACCCTCTGGATTACAGGTGTTACCGCCGACGAACTGCATACCATAGTCAAGCCAGAAAGAAATGGCGGTGCCGATAGTGATTGACAGCTGCTGCAAGGAAACAAGGGATCCACGCAGCTCAGGGGGAGCAATCTCGGCTTGGTACAGTGGGATGACCATACTGAACATACCGATGCCCACACCACCGATGATTCTGCCGGCGAAGAAGTAGGCAGGACTCTGTGCACCGGCCTGGAGACCAGTGCCCAGGGTGAAGATGACGACGGCAACCATCATGGCGTACTTGCGCGAAATGCGATCTGCGAGAACACCGTTGATCAAAGCACCAGCCCAGGCACCAAGCTCGAGGGCGGACACCAACCAACCCTGGATCGTAGATCCCGTGAACGTGGGGAAGTGGTTTTGGAAGTTCTCCATGACGAGAACAGGACCCATCACACCCTGATCGTATCCATACATGATACAACCCAGTGAGGCAAACAAACAAGTAAAGAAGACATATGGATTTGAGATAAAGCCTTTGAGACCATGAGGCTTCTCTGCATTGGCACGGCCAACCACAGACTGACTGATTGCCATCTTGAAGACAAAGCTGGGGCACGAGAGAATAGAGAAATGGAATCCAATGAAGGGAAAAAAGAAGTGGGCTAACCAGGCGGATTATATAGCGCTGGCCCTATTTTCCCATCAAGTTTTTTCTTCCCCTACGCCCATTCTGGGGTTAGGGCCCACAAGTGCCTTTCCCCGGACCAAACGACAAATGTGCAGCCCGAGCCCAAGTTTCCATATAGCGCCCCCTTGATCATTCGATGCCATATGCCACTTCAAGGAATCAACAGCACGCTAAGACTAATTCGACGGCTAGACCGACATTCGGAAATGACATGATCCGGACATACGGGAATGCACATAAAATTCTCGGACGCTAAGGTGCGCCACAAGCCAAAAGAAGCATCAAGCCAGTCGGCTCGGCGTTGACTGGGCACCTTGAATGCGAGATTCTCAGAGAACAAGCCTCCGGGTCCGAGGGCGCCATGGCTTGGCGGCATTTGGGTGTGATTCGCTAGCCGAGTGTCAGCCTGAATCATTTTTCAATATCGGTTTCCTCCCGCTGCATGGGGCAATATTTAGTGCTTACCGCACTGACAAATTGGATGCAATTAGATACCACATGACCCCTGCAAATCCGACAATTGACCGATGCGAGTCGTCAAAGACATACAACATATTATTGACTGGTCGAACATGTTTCGAAGGTCTTTGGAAGTCAGGGGTGGGACACATAACGAGCAAGAGGGAGGGAATAGAGAGGTGCAGGGGCCGGCTAATCTTCGGGTTTTCTATTTTGAGTATGAATTCATGAGCCCTAGTTCTCAATTGAGAATAGTTTGTTCCAAATGCTACAACAGTAACATTCTAGAGTGCGTAATATATGCACGCCACACGGCGCTGTCTCCCCATATCCTTCCACAGATTTGCTGACTTGTGGCTTCTCGCCTGGGACTGGCAAAGATAGAAAAACCAAAAATGCTGCTATCGCTAAATTCGGGTTAGCAGACCTCTATCTCGGGATTGGCTTAGCTCGGGATTGGCCAAAAACCTCGGGGAACCGAGCGGACGCGTGGTCCTATCTTCCCACGGGGTTTTCACTTTGCCAGTTCCAGATGCTCGGTGAGTCGAATTCCGGGGATGAAATCTGAGGCGTTCACTTATACTCTTGATTTATGACTCATGAGCTGTTCTTTGAAGCCTTTCTCCAAGTCCCGTAACCTCCGACTCTTCCGGTACAATGCCGGGGTTTGTGGATACCAACGGGATGCCCCATGGGGTCTCGCCTATCTAGAGGGACCAATGAGTGTCGCCAGGTTTGAATTTCCCAAATCAGTTCAAGACGAAAATGCATCCGAATTTTACTTCTACACCTTCAATTTATTTGGTTTAGCACTGCCTATGTGTTTATTTGTTTTTTCCCTTTAATCTATCAGAAAAGTCGGCCTCTTTTTTTGACGTATATCTAAGAAACTACGTTGACATTACTCCATGGCTCTATTAGCTACCGTGGCAAGGACTGCTCCTAATGATGGTAATATTCTCACAGCTCAATATTACAAAGATATTCCACTGCACCTAGGAATGCGCCTTCAATCGTCAAAAGGATATGGGTTTGTCTTTGTTGCCCCAAGCCACCAGTGCACCGTAGTGCTTCTGTGGAAGACCCTCTGCACCCGAAAAAGAATAATGAGGTTATCCAATCCCCAGATCCAAATTAAGAATCGAATTTGTACAAAGAACTCATAAGTGGCTTATGGGATTTGAGGGGACAAAGAGCCGTTTACAATGTGCATTATACATAGACCTTTCAATCATCCTCTTGGGTTAAGACAAAGGCCTATGGCCTTGAGTTCTTTGTTGTCGAATTCAATCTCCAAGTCTCGATACCTGGATCTCCAAAGCTATATAAAGCTCCCCTTCCTCTGAAAAGTAGATATGCATCAAGTTCTCCGCCACTCCTCCACTATTCCAGTCTTCCAGCTCTACACTTCGCGATTCCCTTGGCCTAATTACGCTACAAGTCTACCTTTCTACTCCTCGGTACAAAGAATACTTTCGGGAATCATGTCAGATAACTACAACTGGAGGGCTGTCCACCCAGTCTACGGAGTACCCATTGCCGTCGTGGAAGCCACTGAGCAACCTGTTATCCGCTGCGACGTTCGTCAGAAGGACAATCTTCCTTCTAGATCATGGGCAGTTCGTATTTCTACATGGATCAACACTAACTATTTCTTATGGTCTTTGTGCGCTGGTCTTGCCGACTATCGCTCTGACGATGAGTGGACGAATACCTTCGACACCCAGTATCGGACGACCTGGGATGAGATCCAGGCTAGAGTCCAGGAGATCGATGGACCTTATAAGTTCGGTATACCCATTCCGATGCCCCCATTCACGAAGGCTGTAGTTATCCATCACCCCGAGAGCGGCCCTGAGGAGACATTCACGGTTGGTGCCGAGGCTCGCCCCTCCCATCTTGTCCCTCGGGTGACTAGGATGCGTCGGGATGCAGTATGGGGCCTCTTGCGCTTTGTGACTGAACGTCAGTCCCCTGTGTCTGATCAATTTGACGTAGTTCTCGATATGTCATCGCCACAGCCGTCGCGCCCTGTAGGTACACGGAATGGTCAGAGCGCGGCTAGAAAGCGTGTATCTCAAGATAACTCGAAGGATGAGGTGATAGACACATACTACCAGTTTAGGAATTGAGATCAAATATGAGGTAAGTGCTGTGTTTTGTTTGTTTCCGCTTTCTTATATAACATAGTTTCGGTACTCTCAAAAAGAAATCTCTGTTTATTCTGATCATCAGCTCTTCGGGTATAATAATATAGTAACATAGTAAGAACTTAGTGATTCAGGTCAGTCCTAGTTACTGATCTAGCTACGCTTAAGGGGGGAGATAAAGAGGAGAAATATTATAATGCTTCAACATCGGAACAAAATAGTTAACGCTAGCTAGTACAGCTATGTGTAAACTGAAAATTAAGACATGGGGGAAATCAATCCTCGTATTAGGTTGTTGGCGCCCCAGCTTTAGTTAGATATATGCTGTTCATCGCCTAACCGAGATGTTAGCCCAGTCACATATGACTAGAGTGAACCGAATCTCCGTTTCATGTAAAAATGTAATCCCCAAAGCCAGTCAGTTACGTTTGTGCTCCAGTTAACAATATTGATGCGCCTCACTAGTATATCTCATATATGTCATGATCGGCGGTACACACAGTCTAAGCATTTGGTTCGCAGAGTGAAGTTGGGGGGAGTGGACACATCAGGAAGGCGGCGGCGGTCCTTAAGGACACATGCGCAAGGCAATACACATTTCTATCATTATGCGTGATTGTATTTCATATGTTTGACCGGCGCGGAACACTAGCCAGAGGATGGGTCCTTCCAAAATAAGTGCCACCAAAGGAAGCTGAAGGGACACGCCAATGTTTCCCCCCGATATACATCCCTAGGATCACCCAGATGGCCCTCAAGAAAGCGAGATCTTTGCTCGCGCCATTGTGCGTGGGGATCTTGAGGCCGTAAAGGATCACTTATGTGCAGCCGTCGATCCTAACTCATATATCATTGCTGCTCGATACATGCTGTATATTGCGGCTTGAGATAGTAACTCTGCTTCTGAAACACAGTACCGATCCCTCCAAAGGGGAACTCAGCAGCGACCTCCAACCCTGGTTGGAATCTATCAGATCCAGCAATACGGCGCTGATTCTTGCATTCGCCAGCGGTGTCAATGATACCAAGCTCGAGGGCTTCGCGTTTGCTCTTGGTTATTGCACCTTAGAGACCATGCAGGCTTTTATAGATGCAGGCATTGATTTAAATAAAACGTCTTTGCTCGGGAACACCGTGGCGCATGCAATCGCCCTGCAAAATTCGCAGGAGATTTTCGATCTGGTGGCACCCCACCTTACGCCGGAGACTATGACGAGTATCTCAAGCTTCTACCGTATGCCACTGCATATGGCGCTAAAGCAACGAAGCCCGAATCTCGTCATGAGATTCATCGATGCTGGTGCCGATATCAACCCTCTCGATAGAAGGATGGATATTGCTCTGTGGACTGCCCTCAAACAAGAACATTTTAGAATTGCACGCTTGATTCTTGGGAAATATGCCAACAGTCCCCTGCAAGCATATATAGGAGGGCGTGAGCTTCTGGCAGCAACCTCCACTGAGAAATATGATATTATCCAAACCCTCATGGACCGCGGCGTGAGCAAAGAGCAAGATGAGAGGGACGAGGTTACACCGCTTGTTGGCGCGGTCAGGACAAGAAGATTGGGTATCGTGAAATTAGCCTACGAAAGAGGACCGACCCGTCCCTTCTTGAGACATAACCCGGGGAAGCTGTATTCGCCTTCGGCATACGCTGGAGCTCTTGGCACTGGTAGCAGGTCCCGTGCAGTCTTGGATTACCTAGATGGTATTATAGACAACGAATTTAGCGACCCTCAAACACTACCTAGGGCAGAAAGTGATACCCATGCCGACATGGCACGCAAGATCATGGAAGCTATGTCAGATCTCCTGCACTGGGGTGAATGTTTCTTCTGGGATGAATGTTTTTTCGGTGATTCTTTTGGGGTCAGGTTCGACCTCATCAATCAAATCGCGTTGCACATTCTTCCATTGGCAGGGGCTGATTTGAATTCTGTTCGAATCTGCGAGCTTGTCGAAAAGGCTCGAAATATTTTTCCAGACAAGCAGGCTATGCCCTCTAAGAAGCAGAAACTCACCGAGGCGCTGAAAGTTTTTCCTCGAGATGAATGCGAGATTTCTTTGTGGACACAACGACCTTTGTATGGGATGAATGTCATGCTTCACAGCGCTAATGGTAAGATGAAAGACAAGCTCATTCAGCTCACGTGTGGTATTTCTGCTGCAGGAGAAGCCCTTCCAGATACAGGTGATGAGCTCATTGAGCGCATATCAGATAGGCTCGGACCGGGTCCTTATCGTACAATGTGGGCGGTTGTTCAGGCCATAAAATATCTTGAGTCTACAGAGAAAGCAGAAGAAGGAGGGTGGACTGGTTCCTATGAGTCATGTCAGCTAGAGAAGGCTATACTACGTCTTCTGCGCACGGTTAGGGAAGAGAGTGATCCTGAAAGGAGAGCCCTTTTCTTGGAGACGTTGGAGGCGGTCATTCAACATCACATAACGGATCGGCTAGACATGGAGAATAATGCTGAGCTTGATCGAGCCGGAACGATATACAAAGTACCTCCTGGAGTTGAGGAGAGGTCAAGGAAGCTCACAGAGACTTTGCACCTTTTTTATCAGCTGGCAAGGGAAAATATTGATGATAAGCAGATGGACCGACTTATGCTGGTCATTTCGCGTCTGCTTCGATTCTAGCTTTTTGTTTTTCCGCACTGGTACTGCTCTGTCTTGGCTCCGGATGTTTCTAACTGTTGTGTTGATTTTGTGGGTTTTTGCTACTTGATTTCGCAATTCAATGAATTGGTCTTCTCTGAGATCAAAAGTGTGAGGAGAAAGAGATCTATCATTAGCAAGGTAATAAGGAAAATGCAACCGTTCTATAATTCCCCTTCCAAGACTAATGGACATAAGCCTGGGAAAATTGTAGACTGCCGAGCTTGATGTCTGTAGGTATTCATATCTTTATCTTGACTAAAGAAAAATGTATACCGATTGCATTCCCAACAAGACTCAGATGGAACGTGACTTCGGAACAGTAGATAATGATTCAATGAAGAAACAAGTCTCACCAAATGCGAATAGCCAATATAAGCGTGAGAAGAAGTCAAATAGCCATGCCGAAATGTAGCGAGTCTAACTGCATGTAGTCACAGGCGCACAAAATTCCAAGACAAAACATCAGATCAATCTACACACATACGAATTCATACAACAGTACCAAGTAGCCAGTAAATTTTCGTCCCAAGCGAAGAATAGTCTCATTGAATCAGTCAGTCTAAGCACAGCGCCGGGGACGTATCCCCTCAGATCGAAGCCATAGCAAATGCACGAACAATTAAGGCGGGGGGCACCAGAACAGGCTGAGTAGTACATGACAAATGAAGATAAAACAAGCAAAGCTAATAAGCATATTGAAGCAAGAGCAAGAGAAAGAGAAAGGTCCAGAGGCTGACGATGTCAGACGCACCGACTGACGGCTATGTATGTATACTTTCAGATCATGTCGGCATGGGCTGGCATCGTCGATGTGGCGGGTATGTATGCAGGATAATGTATGTGTTGCTCGTGAAGGCGTCTCAAAGTGGCCGGGGGATTAACCATAGTTTTTCAATTCAGGGCTTGGGCTCTTATTTTCTGTATCCTTCTAATGTGTTCTGACGGGCCGATGCCAATGCATGCACCCTCAGAAATATTCCTTGGCGGTGGAGGAGAGACCGCCCGGCTTTATGTGCAGCTGTTCTGCGTATTCTGCACAGCTGCACGCATGAAAATAGAGTGGACGGAGAAGGAAATCGAGCGACAAGTGGGTATCATAATGAGGCTGTTTTCGAATGACGCAAGATTAATGGAGGTCGAAAGGCGCCAAACGACAGAAGAGAAAGAAAAGGTGGGCGAGGACAATTGTCATTCCAAAGTTAGTCGGGGTTGGTAAGCTAGAAATCAATTAGCAAGATTGTTTCGCCAGTATCCACAATTCAATGTTCAACTTACCCGAAGAACAGGACGTGAGTAGTCTTCGTTGTCTTGCAGCGAAACACTACTGTCCCGCGCACCGTGCGGGTAGAGAGTCGTGTTGGTCTTCATTCGCCGATCGGTGAATGTTGTGCCCGAACGTGCGGGAACAGGTCCACCGGCACCGCCTTCTCCATTGCCCCGTGGGAAGAGGCCTCCCATGAAGCTCGATCCTCGGCTGGTTCTGTCGTCGGCCATCTCCTGGCTTGGGATCGGGCTGACGGCACGAGCGCGTTTGCGGTAGAAGAAGATCATGAAGATGAGAGCACCGATCAGGGCAAGTCCTCCAATAACACCAATCACAATGCCTGCGATGGAACCTCCGCTCAATCCCGAGCTGCCAGCAGCGCTGGCGTTGGCCGATGCGGAATCAGCGCTAGAGCCAGCAGTCGAGCTTGAACCAGCAACGGTGATTGTCTTGACTTGGCCGCCAGAGTTGGTCTGCACTGAGACAGTAGCCGAGGTACTGGTTGTTTTCTCATCCGATGAAGTTGACTAGGATCAAACGTTAGCTAAACATGTCATTTAATCAAACCGGTCGTGCTGAAAATACAGTTTGTGAAGCCGAGGTGGAAGAATCCGAGGCAGTCACAGTGACAGTTTCAGGCTGAACGCTAGTACTTTCCTATCCCCTATATTAGAGCCACAAGCCAAGAAAGAGTAGAACACCCAGTCATGCTACATAGGCTAGCGGGAAATGTATCGGTCCAAGAAAGAAAGAATAGAAAACCAAGAAGACCGCGGTCCAGAAACAAAGTAGACAGGGGGGCTTACCGAGGTTGAGCTTGAAGTTGAAGTTGTCTCCGAGGACGACGACGAAGTGGTTTTTGATGTTGATGAACCACCAGCTGTGCTAGTCACATCGTTGTTGGGGATTTCCACGTAGGCAAACACTCCTTTGGATGAACTTCCACAGCTGTCTGAGGGATAACCCGGGCAGGAAGTACTACAGTCAGAGGTTTCGGATCGCGACCCCTTAGAGGGAGCAACATTGGAGCACCAGCATTTCTTTCCTTGTAGGATACCTAGGGCGTAATTGGCGCAGGTAGTTATACATGCTCCATTTGATTGGAATATATCGCTCACTGTAAAGAGTCAGTGACATGGCTCAATCTCTAAATTTTTGTCATCACTTACCAGCTTTAAAGGAAGCACCCGTGTTATCTGAGGCACAGAATGCGAGGCTGGATGCAGCCGACGCGAATGGAGCGACGAGCGCAAAAACTGACACCACCACCGGGACCTTCATGGTGGGTGTGCGCGATCGATGATTTCTTATCAAACCCGATCGCCCGTTGATATTTGTGGGTTTCGTGATTTTCCTCGAGGATCCCGTCGTGAGGGTATCGGTAAAAAGTTCACAGGCGCAGAGTGAAGATCGAAATTGGCTGTGTGTGGGTTGACGGATGCGAGTTGTCGATCACCCAGAGTCCGGTAGTGTTTGGAGGAATTTGATATCTGGCAAGTCGATCGAGCAGGCCCCAATTGTTATTTGTTGACCCCCCACTAAACACTCAAAAAGGTCGTATGTTGTCCCGTGTCAAAGACACATTGTCTTTCAATGGATGTCTCCCAGGGCTAGGCAACAAAAATAACAAGAAAGGAAAGAAAGAGACGGGAGAAATAACGTGAAGTCGAACGTAGAGAGAGAAAGAGAGAGAGAAGAGGAGAAGGGGGAACTCCACAGTCACGGGCCTATGCTATCACTATCCTCATCGGAGTATGTCGAGCTTCCCGACATACCCGGTGGAGACTGATTTTCCTTATTTTACCAATTATTCTAATTTAAAGATCTCCAAAGATGTAAAACTGTTAGTTTATTTACAGTTCTTTTTATATAGCTTTCTATCTCATGTATAGACTATATTGCTATCTATAGGTAAAGAGAGCCTACGGAGTATAAAAAGCCATCTTATTATCTTTGTTATAAACGTACAGGTACAACAGTATAACAGGTATAACAGGCCTAACACGGTATTTTATTGACTTTTTTCCTAAAGCTATTTTTTCTCCACTGCATCGCCCGACTGGCAGACCAGGTTTTGCTGTACCAAGGAAACATTCCACCCTTCATACCTCTTTTTTTCGATCTCACACTCTTTACCCCTAATAAGCATGGATAGCCTATGCTATTTGTGTACCTTCTTTATTCTTTATCCGAAACAAAGGAGATCGCCAGTGCATTGTGACTAGGGTTATGCCTAGCGTAATTGCAGACGTAATTGAGTGGAGAGAAAAAAGAATGTTCTAACTTTCTGGTACAGTTATTATTGGTTTGGAAATTATATAAAGAACGCTTTATACTATGAATGTTCGAGACCAAATCCAAGTTCGTGGCAGTGTGGCAGTGTTCGGCGTAACATGAGACCGGACTAAATTGTTATTCATCTTCCAAGATCAGATCGTTATAAAATAACCTGTCAACTTGAAAATTACCTTAGACTGCCTAGGCTGTGTAACACATGGAATTCTATCCAATTGGATATTGTACGGAGTACACCGAATGGTCGCTCTCGCACCCCATGCCCAGACAACGATCGACTCGAGAGATCGCTGTGATTTGCCGGATCCAAGCGAGTCTCCCGTGATGAAACAACGGGATTTAATATTAAGTACCGACTACCCCGTATATTGTACTCTTTTCTATCTACAATATAGAATATATTTAAACATCGGAATCTTAAACCGGACTCTTAGGAACATTGTAGAATTACCCCTTTTGGAAAGGTTCTCTACTTAGTACTTAGTAGACTCTAATGTGAAATCATAAATCCCAATCTCTTAAGTGGAGAATCTCCACTTGGACAGGTAAAATCGTAAAATCGATACGCCTGATCTGGAAATTTCATACAATTTACATGTACGTTCTAACAGGATCAAGGATTTGAGACTGTTACACAAATATAATCTAATTGGACCTTTGAAACGGTACCTGAACACTTAATAATAACCTTGGAACACTCAATCCCTTAATAATGGCAATATTAAGATTACAAATGTACTAAATCTTGGAAAATGCCAAGACAAGTCCTGGAGTGATGATGCTGTGGCCGTTAATATGCTTAGGTGGCTGAGACAAACCCACCAGGGAACCCACGTAATCTCCCCTGGCTCTAGGGTTACTCGAGGGCTCTGATCTCGTCCTTCGGTATCGATTCAAGATTCGGCGAGCCTAAGGGGGAAGATTATTCAATTATTGTAATTGTGCCTGGTGGCTTGCAGGTGGCGTCCTGGCTCTGAAACAAGCCTACTCCGTACAGTGGCGATCACTCGTTGCAGCCTGCATGAGGCATCCGCAAACCAGATGTTAGAGTTGAAGGTTCACATTTTGTCCAAGGTGTAGTGTACAAAGTCTAGGCATATTCGACATTAATCAACATATTCATATTCAACGGGTGTTACACAATACATCTGCGACATACGAATAAGAACCGGAAATCAACCGGTCTGTACTGTACTGTACATGAAATGTGTTGGACTTGTAGTCATCTAACTGTCATCTCAGAAGTCAATGGATAGATGGCCAGTTCCGGAGATCACATCAATCAAACTGGATGAACTTTCTGTACCCACTGAACCTGCTGAACCTGCTGAACCTGCTGAACCTGCTGAACCTGCTGAACCTGCTGAACCTGCTGAACCTGCTGAACCTGCTGAACCTGCTGAACCTGCTGAACCTGCTGAACCTGCTGAACCTGCTGAGCCTGCTGAACCTGCTGAAGTCGTCGAAGTCGTCGAAGTGTGGCTAACATTGCGCGAACGGTCAATGTCGGACCCTGGCAGAGGGCCAATCATCGATGCGCTAATATCCTCTATGAACTCGGAATCGGGAGGGGAATCGGATGAAAAAGAAGAATTAACCCAAGCCAGAACGTCGTCCTCATTTTCCACCTCGGAAGGCTGTTTTGGCTGGGGTCGGGGTTGGGTAACAAACTGGGATTGGGTAGCCATGGATGAGCTGTCATCGTAGTCTTCTTCATCTTCATCAAAGAGAGTGACCGCAGCGGCCAGGGAGACCAGTCGATTGAAATGCCATTGCATGTCCAACAAGTCGAAACTCGGAAGCGGTCTCCGGTAGGGGTCGTCCGTGGTCATACTAAAGCGATAGCCGGATTCAATGATGCGATAAGATGGTTCACCTCGCACTCCTACAGCCACGACGAGTTTATCCACGCTATTAACTCTCTTGCTAGAGACAGGCACCTTGGCCAAATCAACCGCGTCGTATAGTCCATGGTCCTGCTTTGGCTGCCAGTAAAACTCAAGTTCCAGTTCGGTCATATCCTCAGAAATCCGAACGGGGCGAAGGGCGAACAAACCAGATGTCCATGCAGACCGAATATCTCTGCGAAGGCAGATCAGATTAGAGCAATCATTGACGGGGCTCTTGGGTGACATTGGGTTATTAAAAACAGCTCGTTTCCATCTTTCAGCGGTGGACTGTCCCCAGAACATATCCACGAATCTCCAAATGGTAGGCGAAGTCGGGTCATCCTGCAAGCGGGAACTCGCTAGGCCAGCCGGGAAGATTTGAGCAGTTTGGTAAACCTTACGGGTGCCCGTGATGACACACCTGTGTCCGTCTCGCTCTCTGGCGGCGTAGATTGCAACTGGGGGAATACGTGTCGGCGGGCCGAAAGTGAAAGGCGGCAATGCTGAATCTAGTTGGGAGGGAGATGGTTTCACCGTCCATTTGAATGGAAGAGCACAAGCGAGATCAGCCATGATATCCATCATATTCAGGGAAAAGTAGGCGATTTGTACAATGTATTCAAGCCTCTCGAGGTCGCACAGCTGAACAACCGCCCAGAATGGGGCAGGGACTTCTTGCTCTAGAAGCGCTTTCCTGAGACGGCGAATCATAATCTTCCGCGGGTTAGACGGAATATTGAAATTCTCGTCATTTACACGAACGACAGTGGATGAGCGGTTTAGTTCCGAGGAACTTGACGGGAGAGTAGGCGTAGATTCGTTTGACATCTTGATCACGTGGAGTCTGTATCAATAAGACGGTGAAGATTGCTGGTATCCGATCTGCGCACGTGAACTTCGACGTGATAACGAGAGAAGAGCGTTTGTTTTGGTCTTCACGTATTTAAAATGCCGTGGAAACACCGCGTTCTAATTCACATTTGGGGAAGGAACCTGTGGACTTCAAGGATATCACGATACATACAACCCGTCGATGGCACTTTCCCGCAAAAACCATCAGATCATCATAAATCATAAGAATCACAGGTAGTATTACCTCCGAGCTTCCCTCCATTCTCGATCTCGAATATCTCGCATGCGCTTCTCTATTACACGTGCCCGCGGAGGCATTCCCACACGAGGCCTAATATGGGGCGTGATATCAGGCACAGAGGTTCGCTCCCGCTGAATATCACGAATGCGCCTACGACGAGCACTTCGAATCTCGTCGGACAATTCAACAAGCTCATCTATATCCTCCTGTGGCCAAAATGAGTCAGAATCAAAGAAAAGGCAGTCTGTTTAGATGATACATACCGACTTGAGGTACGAGAAGATATAGTAAGACGCTCTCGTCTCTTCATACTCGAATCCCATACGTTCAATGGCTTCTCTCACTATCAGTTTCTTAGATATTTCGGTCCAGCGATCATTTCGTGTCTCCTCCGGGTCTGTGACATGCTGGGCAACTCGTCCCACTTCGACTTCATCCACGGGCACATGTCGGGGTTTGACCTCAACAACGTCCAGGGCCCCAGTCATCTCAATAGCTTCTTCTTGGGATGGAGCATGCACCACAGACCAGTCGTCTGTGCCTCCGGGGGCCATGTCCACTATCCGAGTGCTCTCGAGCATTATATCCTCTTCCACATCACGCATGGAAGGGGCGTTCTTTAGGCTGTAAGCCAACTCGCTCTCGTCGAGTGGCTTGCGTCGACGACGAGCTGCCGACATGGCTTCCTGCTCCCATGGATCTGTGAAATCAAGAGCTGGGCCGCTAGTCGGCGATATCGAGTCTCCCGGAGCAAGAGACTCTTCACAGTCACGATGTTTAAGAAGTATGTCTTCCTCTGACATTCGCCCTCCTCGCGTTTTTCTAGACATTTTAGCGTATGGCGAAGAAGCGGGTTGATCTACAACTCACCGATGGTGGATATCAATCTCATCAAAACTACCTCTCCGAGACTGCGGTCCCGGACTGCGCACACGAGGTGTATGAGCGTCTTTGTAGCCTGAGTTTGGTTAGAGGAAGTGGTCTTGAGGGGCTACCAACATCATGCTTACCATGGTCAATGTGTCTATGGTGGGTAAACACGTCTTGGTGGATTGGAGGTACATGTATCGAATCCAAAGAAGGCGAAGGTTGGCGAGATGGGAACTTGTCATTTGTTTTCCGAATACTGATCTCTTCCTTGACCTCTTCAAGGTCTCGGGGGCGTGGCTTGGAGTCGACTTGCGCACGCATACTAAGCTCTTCATCCAGTGGAACTTGTTCCCTAACCTCTCGCCGAAGTCCCCTTAATTCGCGTTCAAGATCCTCCGAAGGTACGCTGCGTCGTTTTTCACGTCGTTCGCGTATAACGATTTCCTCGTCAACACGTTCAACTGGTCGTGATCCTTTGTCCTTCCGTCGGATGAGCACATCGTCTTCAGATTCTCGATCTGAAAAATCAATTGGGCCTCGGCGTCGCTCCGGAGGCACATCGCGAACGAGGACCTCTTCCACCTCGACCCTGTGGGGAGGTGGAGGCCGTGCCCGTGGCCGTGGTCGATGGTACGTTTCTTCTTCCTCGAACTCCAATCTCCTTTCACGCGATCGAATGTCGAGTTCGCTGTCCCATCCGCGACGTAAAGGAGGCTCTTCCCGTTCTTTTCGTCGGATTAACATCTCCTCTTCCTCGAATCCAGGCTCGGGCCGGTGTCTTCTTCCTCCAGGTTTTCCCCGCTCGTCAACCAAGAGTTCCTCTTCGAATTCCCTTTCTGGACGTCGCCTGCGGTGGCGTTTTTCTCTCTCCTCAAAGAGAAGGTCATCCTCAGATCTTCGTTCTGGGTGACGCCTACTCCCTCTGTGCATTTCTCTATCTTCGATGATCAAATCTTCCTCTTCAATTTCCCGGGGATGGCGCCTACTTCCTCGAGCTCTTTCCCGTTCGACGATAAGTTCCTCATCCTCCTCGAATTCTGGCTCTGGGCGCCGCCTCCTACCACTGCCTCTCTCCCTTATTCGTTCCTCAAACATGAAGTCCTCTTCAGGTACTCGCTCTGGGCGATGTCTTCTGTCTCGCCTTTCGTCGATGAAATCGTCTTCGACTTCTCGCTCTCGTTCAGGACGATGCCTCCTATCTCCACGCCTTTCTGTTTCCTCAAAAATCAAGTCCTCCTCCACCTCTCGCGGAAGACGTCGACTGCCCCGGCGTCTCTCTCGCTCCTCAAAAACAAGCTCCTCCTCATCTACTTCACGATGACGAGGTCTGCGCCGGGGCTCAGGCGGCCGCATGTAGGCATCATCGCGGTCTAGGCGCATAGATCGCTCAGGCGAGACCATTTCTGCCTCCTCCCTTGCCCGCATAAGAGCCACATCATCCCGTGCTCGCGGCGGTGCAAAGCTCTCTTCCATGAAGTCTCTCCTGGGACGTTCTCGGATGTGCATACGCTCCATATCCTCAACTAGAGGTTCGGACCTTCGCCGACGATATTCCTCTTCCTCATAGTCGCGATCTCGTCGGCGCGGTCTGTGGTGCCGCTCGCGCTCTCGTTCCATCTCATAGAATTCATCTTGCTCGTCGTAGTCGCGGGGTGGTGCTCGGCGGGACATTGTGGGAATGTGCGAGTGATCACCGCATCGGATGTGGTGATCGATCGGCCGTGCCTACGGTCGGAAATATCTCGACCGCTCTTAGAAGACTCTTAGATTTGCTTTGGTGCAGGAGCCTGTTAAAGGGCTCAGTTCAAGGTCACAGTCAAATTCTGTAGTTGGTGACTTGGTGGGGCTTGCGAAAAGGAAGGTGGGCAGTGCTCTAGTCAAAATCACCCAGTTGGGCAGCTAATGATAGTACGACCAGTAAGATAAATTGGTAGATCGAGTGGACAGAGTACCTAAGTACACCTGGGCAGGCCCTACAGCTTGAATATATGAAAATGGAAGTGTGACTTGGAGGAACGAAAAGCAAAGTGATCGACCCCGCGGCTGATGTCACTGGGTTCTCTCAGAGAGTATCCAGAGATGAACCATTCTCCTTCAAAATCTTTGCATTTGTTTACTCCCCAGGTCCAAATCTTGAAGTTCTACCCCAGAATCTTAGCTAATCCTGCCACTAGAACCTTGGTTCTCTTCTCAAAAACCGTCGGTTTGGGTGCTGAGAACCTTGGGTATTCGGGTGGGGTCTATAATGCTTGGCGTCATCGTTCTTATGCCCAAAGCATATCCCTTTGTGTATCGGTTCAAGCCCAATGTGCATTGTTGGGTTCTGCTCGGAGTTCCCGGAGAGTTAACTACCGGCTAGTTCACACCAGCTTTACGATTAGATACATTGATCCAGAATGATGTCAAGCTAACTCTTCAAGGATGTTATATACTTTGGCAACGAGTAACAGCACAAGGTCATCAAGTAATCGATATTAATTCGCCTAATCAGACGATAGTATGATGTTTTTCAAGACATGGGGTATATCGTAACTATAACAAGGCAAGCGAAAGCAGATTCTAAAAGTACACGGGGGAACAGGATGTCATAGGGTTCATAGTTCACTGGAAAGCAAGTCGCATCTGCCCCTTTTCAGGTTTACCCCGACTCCCTCCACCTCGACCACCTCTCCCACGAGCATTTGTACCGCGTGCACTACTTTTGGGTGGTGGTAGGTGTGAAACTTTCGCCTCCTCTCTGTCCTGGCTTGCGAGGTCCTTGGCAAAGTGCCAATCATCATGTTCTTCCTTTTCATACTCGAACATCGACTTAGAGCATCGTGGACATACGAAGCGAGGAATTCCGCTCAGTTCTGGGTCCATTTCAACGGGTTCTTGGGCGCTGTTTAGCTCCTCTGCGGCAGTATCTTCAAGATGTGATGGGTTTCCAAAGAATTTTATTATCTTACCCCCGTCTCCGTCAAGTTTTCGTCTTTTCTCAGTTGAAGGTTGTTCACTGGGGGAATCATCGGCGTCTCGGGGTCTCGAAGAATGGCTCAGAGCTTTTGCTTGATCGCCGCGAAGCAAGAAGCCCTCAATAGCTTTGTTATTGGTCACGCCGTCTTCGAAGCTTGACACGCTCAACGACAGGTTGGAACAGGGCCATGCCTGTCCGTCGGCCACAACTTGACGAAGCAAAATATTGGCCAGGTCGTAGAGAAGGTTTTCGTTGATTGCGTTAGATCCGGGGATTGGAATTTGGCGAGAACGAGATTGCGCGGCTCCAGTTCGATGGTGTATTGTAATCACCTTCGGACGACGTCTATTTTCAAGCACGCCGTCTTCCACAAGGCGGCCATATATATCAGCCGCGAAGATACGAAGCCACTTCTCGGCCTGATCAACTGACTGGATGCTCGGTCTGAAAGACTTCGCGGATAACATAGATTTAATTTGGGTTCGGGGGTTGACCTCGCTGCGGTCATCACCACGGATGACTCCGTAAAGCCAGGATGCCGTGTGGTCATCCAGCTTGGTGCGCAGTTGCTCAAGCGATACGTTGAGAAGCTCGCTGACTTTCTCCGTCCCAAAGGCGGTAGTTATTTGATCGCCGAGTTTACCACCCAGCATTCTGATCTGAGTAAATTTATAACCATTTAGGAAATTCTGTACCGCTCGATTCCGCACAACAGTTTGTAGGTTGGGCTTGTTGCAAGCACTTCCTAGTTTTGCGATCATTTTATTGCGGCCAAGCCCAGCCGAACAAGTGTAGCTGAGCTTCTCCCAAACTGCATTTCGGACCCATCGTACAATCTCGGATCCTATCAGCATGACAACGTCATCCCAGTCTGGGTCATCTTCCTCCGTTTGGTGTTGATCCAGGTCTACCAAGCAGTCGGTGTCCCACTGCAAGGCTGTGGTCGGCGGTATAGGTAGTTCTGAATCACGGTTCTCGTCTTGTGTTCCCGTCCGAAGCTCTGGGTATCTCTGAAGAAGCGCCCTATATATCAATGGAGACAAATCAATGAATACCTCATCAATACTGGCTTTCTCCAAAATAGCCGAGAGTTCTTGCTTCGGATTGTGGGGTTCGACTTCTGTGTCATTGGCATTCCATGTGGCCAGAGCCTCCTTCATCGTCTGGAGAATCTTCCGCGATTGTGCTCGGTACGGATCTAGCGACACCTTGTCCGTGCTGATGTTTCGAAATGAATCATCCCGATATGCCCATCTTCCTCCCTCTCCCTCTCGAAAAGTCGCGACATGCTGTAAGACGAGATCTGGACAAAGTTTCCTGGCCTCCGCAACATTGATCAATCGACTGATTCCGAACGGTCGAGCAGCGTAGTTGATGGCAATCAAAGAATCCCATTGGCGCACTGCTAATGGTATATCCCGCGGCGTCCCTAACCGGACCATCTCACATTGCGCATAGAAGGCATCCAGGTCGATATGCGCAATCACGCGTAGAGGGGTTGCGGTGGATCCCTGTCGCAAGCCTTGTAATTGTCGATAGGTAAAACGGGAGACCTTCAAGGGATCGGATGACTCGGTAGGTTCGGACATCCTCGTACGTGCATCATGACGGTGAGCAGATCAATGGGGGCGTCGAAGTCGGTCAGAGCTTTGAATATGATGCTTTCAACCTTGGAACAACTGCCTAAAATGGACTAGCGCGGGCACGTGTGAACTTCAGCCTAAGCTTCATGTTTGTTGTCTCATCACTTCAATTTTCAATTTCCATGGCATCTTACATGTCAAGAATTTTTTTCAATGTTCTTCTACAATAATTTAACGGGTCCAGAGACAGCCACTGTTCACTTTTCTATATTCCACAGAGTTATAGACCAGGGATGGCCAAATGACACATCACGTAGTGCCTGCTTATTTTTCTTCAACCACCCTGCATTGTCATATGTCGTGTTCTCATGCAGAATTTTTCGATGTTGTAACTCGCCCACTGCAAGTCTTGAACATGAGAGAGAAAAAAGAAACGAGACAGGGTGATCTCCGATCTGTGCGATCCAGCTGACATTGGCGGGCTGTGAGTGGACAAGAGCTCGGAGGCTTCGCGCAGGTGCCCAAAACCACGCATTCCTGCCCAACGGTCATCTCGTGTGGACATCGCAACTTTCAAGTGGCAAGTTCACAGGTTGCCACCGGTCTTTGCTGTCAACAGATTGGCCCTTGGCTGTCATGCTCCCTTTTACAGATGGTGTGTGAGGGATCAATCACAATGAGTCCTATGATTTGTCGCCTCAACACTGCCCTCTCACACCATACATATGGACATCTGACAGCTTTTTGATGATCTCATTTCCTATCAACAGCTCTGCTTGACCGCTGCTGAAGATCCACTGGTGGAGTCTTGTAGAGTTTCGATATTAATCCGGTCCAGGGGCACAGACTAAGGAGCAATCCAAGCTGGTTGAATATGGGGGATCGGCCCTTATTTTCTCTCGTCCCAACTAAAATCTAGTGGGAAACAAAGAGCAAGCTATTTGGGGTCTAGTTTGAGGGTACAAAGTACATCTCTAAATATATACTCCGTGTACATTTGTCTACCTTGGTTTACTTTTGTCTTACATTTTTCCACCTGGAAGGTTGACCAAAAGGGGAGTATGTCCATAGTTATATTGACTCATGAGTACTCTGTACCTCCGTAATCCTAAATGATACATGAAAATTTTTCTCAAGCGGCTACAGGCATAGGGTTGCACATCAGTCTAATCCACATTTGACCGTGCATGCTTTTTGCCTTGATCTCAGTGGGGAGTCGTGGCACCAGCCCAAGACGGCCCAACCGCCCTGGCCCTTTGAAGTCCACTTTACCTCCTCCCCCCCTCTTCCTTCTTCTCTTTCTTTTCCTTCTCTCCATTCCTCTGGCTTCTCTTGCCAGTTCTTCTACTCTTTTCCCTGAAAAATATCTAGTTCATCCCGAACAGATTACAGATATCCCACAGGACCCCCGTGTTTCTCTTTCTCCTAATCCTGACAACTCCCCTCTTGACACCTTTCAACCTCTCTATTCAACCATTTTTTGAGGCCTTCTCAATTTCCCAGGATAATTGCCCCAGTGGACAACCAGCAAGGATTTCTACCCAGGATTAACCGGACTTTTTCCAAGGACTTTTACTATTTGCGACCAGGACCCTTTTCTGGCCACTTCCTAAGGATCGTATCTCGTGTTCTACTTGTCCTGGAATCGAGGAAACAAATCATTCAGTCGTGATTGTCGACTTTTGGAACCTTCTCGTCGCCTGATAGAATCTGTACATCCTACAATAAAAACGGACTCATCACCATCAACGTTCCCAGGACTCTCAAACCATCTACCACACGGACTTCCTCTTCTCTGGCCCTTTGGATCCCGAGGACTTTAAATTTTTAAACCGGATATTTTCCTCCCTCGGAATACATTATGACAGGCCGCTATGAGGGACGCCCGGAGCGTCAGAATGAATATTTCATCCCCGGCGACGGAATCAGCCGAGAGGTTATTCAAGCAGATATTTGCCGCTACCTTGGAAACGATGCCCTCGTGAGACCTGGCAACCACAATGTTCGTCTTCCGCTCTTGACCTGATGACTCACAAAGGCCATTTTGACTAACCATGAACAGGGTCGCCCAGGATTCTTCATCCGTGCCTATCGGAATCTCACATCTGTAAGTGAATATGGAAATGCGACAA